CAAGAGTGGGAAATCAGAACTACCTGACAACATACCAGCCCAAGCACTGACGTCAAACATAGGAGTAATCGTAAAGATACTCCGTGTTCTATTCAGGAATACTAGGAAAGAAGAACAAGTGCCACTGACAGAGTGGGAAGAAGGATACCTTACTAAGATACAAAAGAAGGGAGATCTGAGTAACTGTGAGAAATCAACTACAGAGGCATCATATTACTATCGTCGCCAAGAAAATTTCTCAACTGAATGTTTCTGAACCGGCTGAAAGATTCAGTGGACGTTCGGCTTCGTGATCAACAGACTGAATTTTTTGAGGATCAGTCGTGTGCAGACGAGGTCGCGACGCTATGGATCACTGTTGAGCGATCAGTCGAATGGAATTCGTCACTACACATCAACTTTGTTGATCATGAGAACGCGCTTGTCAGTGTGGATAGGAGAACCTGATGCAACCTTCTTCGATACTTTTGTGTACCTGAGAAGATCGTCAACATCATACGAAATTCATAGAACGGACCACACTACAAAGTCGTGTATGCATGACAGCTGACAGATTCATTCCAAATGAAGACCGGTGTCAGACAAGATTACTCTCGCCTTTCGAATATAATGAACAGATCAAATGCGGTCGAGCTGAAAGTTTACAAGATTATTTCAGGAAAGTTTGCTCCAAGAATATTAATTTCAACTGTCGTCACATTCATAAATGTGAGATCCAGACCACGATACTAGCTTTTTGACAAAGGAAGCAGTTTATCGCTTGGTTAGCGAACCACCAAGCAATTAGTCCCAATAGATAAAATACACGAATTTGTGTCGTCCCAGATGTTATTTGCAACAGAGCCACCGAAAAAGTAACTTGGAACGTGCTTTCCACAGATTCAACACCTACGTGATTATAAGGTTGCTATTCCAAACATGAAATTACGCAAATTTTGCTTATTTAATGACCTGTCAGCTTACTGTCTCTTTATATAATGCATTTGAAATATTTGTGGTGCGTTTCTGATTTACCTCTGGTTAAAAACCCGTTGACTGTAGAGCCTGACATAGCGGTCACTCCTGTCTAACTATTCTAGTCCGTATAAATAAATAAATAAATTAATTAATTAATTAATGCATCGTAGATGTCCACTGTATTCCGTGTTTCCCTTCAGATGTTGCCCAGATTGGTTTACATTTTCGTATAAATATTCATGTATATTAGAGTAAAGCCTGATGACGATTTAATTGAAAACAATTGTTCGCTTATATGTGTTGTTCTAAGTTACTGCTGCGTCTTATTTCAGTGCCTCTGCTGGAATGTTGTCTAGTCCTGCTGCTTTGCCACTCTTGATTTGTTTGATAGCCATGCTGATTTCTTCAATTGCTGGTGGGCCAACATCGTTTGGGTGGGTTCAGTGGAGCTGGTCGATTCAAGAGTTCTTTGAAGTGTTCTACCCACCTATTTCGTTGTTCTTCAATGTCGGTGATTACCTTGCCTTCCTTGCTTTTCACTGGTCGTTCTGGTTTATGGTGATTTCCAGAGAGTTTCTTTGTCGTGTCATACAGTTCTCTCTATTGTTTCTTCCTCTTGCAGCCTTTTCCGCCGTCCTCGCTAAATCTTCCACATATTTACGTTTGTCAGTTCTGATGCTCCTCTCCACTTGCTTGTTTACTTCTGTGTATTCAGCTTGTGCCTTGGCTTTTTCTGCTCTTGTTCGGCTGGTATTGATTGCTACTTTCTTGTTCCTCCTTTCTTGAATCTTATCCAGTGTATCAACAGTGATCCATTCCTTGTGATGGTGCTTCCTGTGACCCAGGATCTCATGACATGTTGAAGTGATTGCCTCTTTGATCCCCTTCCAGTTTCTCTTCACAGTAGATCATGAAAGGCCTGGAACTTATTGCTGAGGACTATCTTTAGTTTGTTGGGTTTGTTAGTATCCTGAAGAAAGGCCGTATTAAACATTTGTGATATTGTCCGCCCCGTTGTCCAGTGCTTCTTGAGTTTCAATTTCATCTTGGCGACCAGCAAGTGATGATCTGATGCTATATCAGCTCCTCTCTTGGTTCTCACGTTCTCTATAGTCTTCCTGAACGTTTTGTTGATGCAAATATGGTCGATTCGGTTTTGTGTGGTGTGATCCGGCGAAGTCCATGTGGTTTTGTGAATGCGTTTGTGTGGGAATATAGTGCCGCCTATGACCAGTTTATTGAAGGCACATAGGTTTGCAAATCTCTCACCATTTCCGTTCCTTTCTCCCAGTCCACGTCGTCCCATGATGTCTTCATAATCGGTGTTGCCATTCCAACCTTGGCATTTAAATCTCCCGTCAGAATGGTCAGGTCCTTTGTTGGGCAGTTCTCGACGATTGACTGCAGCCTATAGTAGAATTGATTTTTAGTGTCTTCATTGTAGCCGTTGGTAGGTGAATAGCATTGGATGACGTTCATTGAAATGCCCTCTTTCTTTGTTTTGAAGGAGGCTTTGATGATCCTTGGTCCATGAGATTCCCATCCTATAAGCGCATTTCGTGCTTGCTTGGACAGCAACTCCTTGTGTGTGTGTGGCATTTTCTTCATCATGGTCGGAGTATAGCAGAAGCTCCCCTGAAGCTAGTCGTTGTTGTCCAACTTGCGTCCAATGTGTTTCACTGATCCCCAGCACCTCTAGGTTGTCGGTCGAATTCGAGGAAAAGTGTTTTTAGTCATAGTGGATGCACTCTCGAAATGGCCACAAATATATGCTATGGCAAATTGCACAATCAGTGAAACAATCAGCAAGCTATCTAAATTGCTTCGCTGTTTCGGAGCTCCGGAGAATTAGGTGACTGACAGCGGCTCAAAATTCACTTCAGAATCATTCAAGTACTTCTGCAGCAATAATGGAATTATGCATATGCTCTCTCTAGTCTATCACTCTCAATGAAATAGACAGGCAGAGCGGTTTGTTGACACATTTAAAAGAGTATTGATGAAAGGTGGAGACGAGAGGACAAGTCTGATAATTACAAAATCCTTAACTTATAGAACTAAGCCCAACCCTATTGTCTTAGATGGAAATTGCCCTACTGAAGTTATGTTCGGAAGAATTATTCGACGCCATGTTATCACTCAAATCAGTGGATGCACACAAAATCAGACTATCCGAAGTTTTAACGTGGATGATAAAGTGGTCATCAAGTCATGCCTCAGAAAAAATCTATAGGAACCTAGAGTTATTGAAAATGGAATGGAAAATGTTTTGTGGATTAGACACATCAGCTAAATTTACAGAGAAAAAGGACGGTGAACACGGTAGACATATGAGTCAGTCTTCCACTGGAAATAGTTACAGATACCCCAATGACAGGAAACCCAACAGACATTCACAATCGCTGGACACCAAAGAAGTCGGGACGCCACCAGGAACCAGTCATCAAGCTGCAAGTAGACCCGAAGAAAAGGCCTTATTTTTTGAAAGGGGGGGTGTTGATGAGATCCAGAAAATTCCTCAAAAAAGCTCTGAAAACTCCGGGAAACATTTTATTTAATCAGGGTTGAATAGAAGTACCCCAGAAACATCTAGAAAGTGAAGTCACATTTTTCTCGCGTGTTCGAGTTGCCGAATAGATTTAACCTGGGGTTTACTAGAAGAGCTTAGGAAACTGAATCAAGCATTCAGTTGGAAGACTTATCACATTTGAAACGTACGAAGCTAACAAAAATCAACTATTAAAAAACTAATGGTGTATTGGTGATATCCTGATGTGTAGAAATTCAATTTTTCTACGTTTCATCACATAATGTGAGCTACTTCTTTAGAAAGTAAGTACATAAGTAACCGAACTAAACAAATTTCTACCTAATGCTTAATTTATTTGAAATTACCACGTTTAATCTTGATAATGATATCTACAAATATATAAGGTTGTGTAATTGGCCTTAAGTAGTTTCCTATTGAAATATGTGGCCACACTTTTGTTTCAGAAAGATGATCAATGAAAAACCAGGTCCCATTTTAGGTTTCTTTCAAAAAAATGTCCATCATCGGTGTAGGAAACTTACAGAAAAAAACCGTTCGCATACTCACAACAGTACTCAAGTTAATCTTACGCTTAAGCCAATTTCTCGTTTCTTAATATTTATTTAACTCCTTCTATGAACCTTTCTTTTATCTCATAATTACCTACGTGTCTAAATAAGGTTAACGATTCAAGCGTATCAATTACTATACTTAATCACTTGGAAATGCGTTGATAATTACATGCTCAAAATTTTGAACCTCGTGTTAAATCACATAATAAATTTTAGTAGTCAAGATTGAAGAATTCCATCCTACAAATACATTTTGTCTCTAAAATCATTCTAGGCGACATCTATACCAATTTAAGATGCTATGTAAAGTAGGATAAAACTGATAACAGAGAGAGGTATGAGTTTGTTATTTGATTAACACCATCTGATATGTGTATATAATTTGCAGGATAAATATATATGTTGGGATGATCCAGAAAATTGCTTGCAAAAGACAAGCAAGAATCAGGAATCACTAAGAAGCGTTTCATCCAATCAGCGTTCACTTGAAGTCTTAGCCAGAAATATCAAGGAAGCGAAACGTCACATGCAGAGGCTCTGATTGCCTGGCTGCTACACTACTACTATGTTTAGTAGCATTCCAGAATCTTCTAGCAACCCAAGGACGTTTAATATATTATAAAAACCCTGTATAAAAATGAACCTTGGAGTAAACTACTTTTCGCATACTTCGCGTCTTCTCTCTCGTGTTCAGGTCGCTGTATAGTTCTAGTTTGGGGATTACAGAATAGCTTAAGAGACGAATAAAGCGTTCAATCCGCAAGACTTATCAATATATATATATATATAACATCAACTTCAACCGTGTTATTATGTTGAAGACAACAAACTTATTTATCTTATGCTACCATTTAATAATACAATTTACATATCATCAATATGAGATGTCAATGTTATTCAATCTTTAAGAGAAAATACAACTGATATGAAAAGAACAAATATACTTTGTTAAACATTTTTATTAAATTGATTTATACTACTAAATAAGTAGGCAAAATATGAATGAGAAAAAAACACAAAGAAAAATCATAAAACAATTGGAGAATAGAAATTACACTGACAACAACAACAACAGCAGCAATAATACTAATTAACAATCATTATGAATTGCGCGCCTTGATTAATTGCATTTAGACAAAGAAATAGTTTCAATGTTTCAATATTAAATTGTTTTAATATTTTTATAAATATCTAAACCAGTCATTGTATGTATTAAATTTGGTAAACTATTCATAATTGTAAATAATTCACCAGTTAATTTTGAAACACCAATATCCCCTTCACCTGTACAAATCATAGTGACTTTATCACATTTAGTTAATGGTGAACTAATCTCGGCAGCAATTTTTGGTAATGATTGTAATACCATGTCTAATTTAGCAACATTCTGAAGAGAAAAAAAAATTAAATAAAGAAAGAAAAATATTATCAAAGTATATTTGTTTGTTAAAAGAACGAGTAAAAACAGAATAGATTTATGTACGCATCAATTATTATTATTATTATTATAATAAGCAAAGAAGGATAGTGGATAGCAGTGGAATCCAGTTTGACGGGCGTTTCGCCCTGTTTGAGACTCGTCAGTTGGATGTACCTGCGTCTCAGAGTTGATGTTCACTTCGGGACTCGAACCCAGTACCATTCGCTTTAAACGCCATCGCGTTATCCACTTAGCTACTGAGTCCTTATAGCCACTTGCTCGTGCAATGGGGTGAAGTTTAATTCACTTGGTATTGTTTTACTTGAATCTTCCAATTGATGCTTTAGGACTGAAATTGATCAGTCTGTTATTGGCATATGTGCATACTGTGCGTATGCCTCGATATTGCCTTAATTTACAAGCATTATAAGCAAAGATGGATAGCGGCTAGCAGTGGAATTTACTATTTAAACATAAACATTGGTACAAGGAGGCACCAAACAGATATACACCATATAAATCATTCGATTTGTGTGAGGGCTGTGATACTGCCCAAACCGAAACAGGTGGTTTTCATAAGAGGGAACACCCGGAGCCTTTGACCTAAAGGTCTAATCCACAAAGAAATGGAGCAGTGTCGGGAGATGCAGTCCTATGGTAGACGGTGATTAACGATTGATTCATACGCCATTTGTTCCCTTAGGATACTGAAGACCATGTGCACCATTGGTTTTGAGTCAGGGTTTTCCAACTTCCTTAGGTGGATCCTCTATATCAATCTACCCGATTAAAGCGCCGTACATTCGGCTTTCGTCCTCTCAATTTGGTAAACAACAGTAATGCTGTGAGAAGGCAGTGTGAGTAGTACTTCCCTAGCAGGGGTTGTATGCACGTGGCCACTTGAGAGCAAATCTAGAGGGAGAGCTGACTCTCTTCACGCGTCAATACTGAGCCCCGTAAAATTTTGTTATGTGAAGGATAGCAATATAATCTGTCTGACTAAATTAAGTAGATGGAGGGAGTTTCAAACATGCAATTCAATAGTTGAAATTCGAGTGTTTTATCCATTAAGTTGTGATTTAAACAAAATGTGTGATTGTATTTCAAGAAACAACATCATTCCTCATGATTGAGGTAAACGATAAACAGTAAAAACAAGATATATGTATCATTATAAATTTCACTGATATTAAATTAACGTGGGTATATCTCTGTTGAAGTTGGTAATTGAGTTCTATCCAACTTGTGTTTTACATACTGTATGATAATAATAATTTACACAAATAAGCCTAAACTAAGCATTCGCAGTAAATCTGTATGGTAATTCTGTTGACATTGATTCCTTTAAATCGAGTCAACCAAAAATGGTGCTAACATTTTGATAAGTTTTCTAATTGAACGCTAGCTCTTCTAGTAACCCCAGGCTAGATCTACACAGCAACTTGAACAAGAGAGAAAAGGCGCGAGATATGGAAGAAACATTTTACTCCGAAGTTTCGTTTATGTACAGAAAATCTAGTGTTTTTATAGTATTTTAGATGACCTTGGGTTTCCCGAAAATTCTGGAACGCCAGTAAACATAGTAGCCGTATAGGTAACCATCCAATCAGAAACTCAACATGTGACTTAACTTTGTAGATGTTTCTGGCATAACTTCAAGTGAATGTCAATTCGATAAGATGCTTCTCTCAAAGTTTTCACAGCCATTTTTTAGGTTTTTTTCCGAGTTTTCTGGATCTCCCCAACACATTTCTCATTCAAACATTGATGCAATCAATGTTAATAATTAGCCGATGGATTAATTTTCTTGTTATTATTTAACAGTACAGAACTTATCATGTAATCAAGAACTGATTGACGTTACAGAAACGTGGAATAATGAAATGAAATACATTAGCCTAAAGACAAGTTCACTCTGTCAAAGCAGAAGACCATGAGTACCAATGTCTGAAGATAGTGGAGATGTACTGTTGAGAAGTCCCAAATTAAATTGAAATACATATGTAATTTTCAGATAGTTAGTTTCAATTAACCTATTACATAAACTCTAAAAATGTATCACTAATATTATTTTCAATTAAGTCATCATGACAACAAGGAATCATCTGAAAAGAAATATCTTTTCTGTTCAAATTTTATTTGAAATTCTTTGATGGAAACATTTGATTGATGAAATTATACTTGAAACGTTTAACGGCTCACATTTCTGACAAACATCTTATGAAAATATTTAACAGAAGATTGTGTAATACAAAATGGTTAGCTTGTTTTTTTTTCATATTGAAACCATTCAAACATTCAGACACCCCACAATGGTAGTATTTCTCGACCTTAAGGCAGCGTTCGACTCTGTTGATCGTGAGGTTCTATGGCAGTGTTTGTCACTGAAAGGAGTACCAAAGAAGTACATTAACCTTATAAAGGCTCTCTACTCGAACACAACTGGTAGAGTAAGAGCTTATGGCAAACTGTCATCAGAATTGATTACCTCAAGTGGTGTTCGTCAGGACTGCCCACTCTCTTCATTCTTGTTTAACTTTGTCGTTGACGTACTTTTAGAGATAACACTTTCCTCGTTTAAATTTCTAGGGGTTGAACTTCTACCGGGAGGTTCACTTGCTGAATTATAATATGCTGATGACATAGTTTTGTTTGGTGAAGACGCTGACAAAATGCAGAGACTTCTGACCACTCTAAGCAACAATGCAAGTATGTTCGGGATGCGATTCTCCTACTCGAAATGCAAAATGTTACTTCAGGGTTGGGTGGCATCGACACCTGAACTAATGATAGGGAGTGAAGTAGTTGAGCGTGTCGACCGCTTCACTGATCTGAGAAGTCTCATCAGCCCTTGTGGTCTGGTGTGTGATTAAAATCTCAGCATGGATACAGAAGGCTCGACTAGCTTTTGCCAAATCGCGTCATTTATGGCGTAGGCGAGATGTACATCTATCAATCAAAGGATGGGTTTACTGAACAGCAGGTCGTTCTGTCCTACTTTATAGCAGTGAAACATGGCCGGTAAGAGTAGAAGATATTCGTAGGTTACTAGTATTGGATCATAGGGGTGGCCACACCAAAACATGGCACAAATCCATGAAGTCACTGTTAAGTAGGCTGAGTCATGTTGGTAGATGTAGACTACCTGGTTGAGATCTGCGAGATGATAGCAACCGATGGTTAGAGACCTTGAATGACATGGTTCAAAATAGTTTACAATGGTGCAGGTGCATACACTCTTTGTGTTCTCCCAAATTCTAATCTCCTGATTCCTCCTTGTCTCTTTTTTCTCTTCTCAAATTTATCTCACTGAATTATACTCTTTAAATAACATCTCCAAACCCTAATCTTCCCGATTACTGCTTATACTCTGACTACCTCTACCACTACGGGATTTGAATCGACGACTTCATCTCCGTGCTAATGTGGTATGGCAACTCGAACTGATATACGTACGTACGAAGTTCTACGTTGTTACTGACTGACTGACTGACTGATCGTTCGTTGAATAATTCGGAGCTACTATATAGAATTATCGGACATAGTAGTAAACATATCACTAGCAAGGAACTATAAATAGATTTAATAAATTGAGTTTCATTCAGTATATATTAATGTGGAAATATTCCTTCATTGTTATGAGTACACATTTGTGTTCTCGTATTAGTTTATAGATAAAGAACTATAATTTTATTAACATATTCAGTTTTACTCATAATATGAAGGATAAAAAAGAATCAGGAGTTTAAAACAGCCAATTAGAAACGGTACTAGAAAATGATCATGTAATTGAGTTTATATCTTGTTATTCAATAGACATGTACTTATTCAAGACCAGTAGTTGTTTGGTGGTTAGAATAATCAAAGTTAAACTATAAGATAACAGGTTTCAACCTTATTCCATGTCGTTGAATTCGGGTGACAGAATAGTATAAATACGCTTCATACAGTGAGTATAACTTTGATGGCAAGAGAATGGAGATAAACTCAGTTAAAATTCTAATACTGTCCTCTTTACCTTTCATAAAGGTAGTATGATTGCTCTACAGATCAGAATACTAGCAATAATCAACTAAGATAAATGCAAAATTCATATGCATATAATGATGTGATTATTTGAAAGTTGGACCTTCTAAAAGTTAAGAATATTATAATTGTATATACACTGATTAAAAATCGATAGAGATGTAACTTAATAGTTAAAGTGTTAACTTTCAATAAATAAGTCACCATTTTGAACCTCGCTCGCATAACTAGACTACAACACAAACTTGATTATATGAACCCACAGTTGGTGAATGACTTACATAACAAATCAAACTTAGAAAGAAGTTGAAAAGTTTCAAACTTGTACAAAACTTCCATCGAGTATCTATCTTCGTTTCTATGGTTTCCAAAAATTCTCTAAGTTATACCAGTCTTTTCAACATAGTTTATCTTCGAGGTAATTACCACTTATTTATTGATTTCTAGTGAATAATGCACTCATTTCATTTGGACTTTTATAGTACAAAAACACACCGCTAATTGGATAGTATCAATCTAATAATTGTGTGCAAAGTAGAAACCGGCACATGTGTGCATAAGTTCAAGTTGTCACACTACATCATTACAATGAGATCAAATTATGAAGTTAGTAACACTATCAATAATAGTAGAAAACACTAAGCATAGGTAATATGATTTGAGAAAAAAATTAATTCGTGGAATAAAATAGCATGAAATAATTTCAAAACCCAAAATCTAAGGAAACACCGAGTGAAATCATTTACACCATTGTCCATAGATTTTGAGTCATGTTTTCAACCATTGGTTACAACAATCCTATGGACCTTAATCAGTTAGTTTGCACTTCTTGACACGACTCAATCCAGTGATTTCATGAATTAAGGCCAACTCTTGGTTAAGTCACACTCAGTTTTCCTCCAACTTACTGTTAAATGAATTAACATTTTGTGTCGGGGTAGGGGGTAGGTAGTGTTAGTTTAACTGTAAGATCAAGAAACTATATACTTGGCAAACGAACTACATTAATTATTTTGATCAATAAATAAATAAATAAGCAAACCTGATAATTTTTCCATGCTTCAGCTTTCTTTGCCATTTGTTCTGCCTCAGCGTGTGCTATAGCTTTTAATGCTTCCGCCTCAGCAAGACCACGTAGCCGAATAGCCTCAGCTTCTGCTTCCGCCTCGGCAGTTAAACGTAGCCGGTCAGCTTCAGCGAGACGTTCCAAACGAAAACGTTCAGCTTCAGCTGGTTTCCGTACCGTCGCATCTAAGTGACGTTCTTGTCGTACAATTTCTAATTCCTCCACTTGGATTTGTTGAGTTTTCTCAAGAACGGTGATTTGCATTTCTTCCTCCTTAATTTGTTGTTTAACTTTAGCTGCCTAGTTTTTGTTCCAAATGCAGGTATATGTGTGAGAGAGACAAGAGGAGGATATATAAGATAAGAAAAATATCATGTATTCTTTTTATGATTTAATTAATTAGTTTAATTCGGTAATCAGGATTTAAATACAAACTGACTGCGCAAATGAGACGAAATTCAAAACCGTGATCCGTCACCCGAAAATATAACTGAGGAACAGTTAAACTACCTCTATAGTATTCAATAAAAGTTCAAATACATAGGACTGATTCAGCAACTGTTTCAACTGAAACTGATAACAATTATATTACGATATTATTTTAAGGGTGATTCCATAAAATGCAATATATCTAAGTAGGTATGCAAATAACATACTTTAATTGATTCTGTAAATGCAGAATTAAAACCCAATAACGGCTAAATAGCAAAATGAGGTTGAATACTGTTAGAAGTGTGTGAGTGGTTCTCAATTCTAAAATAGGAAATATTTTCTTAAAAGGCCTGCAAAAGAAACTAGGTTGGTAATGAATATCTTGTCAACATTTAGGTCTGATCATAGAGCCTAAGAGACCTTACTGTCTGAACTGAAAATCCTTGAGGTTTAATGGGATGTGTTATTTTTTGAATAAACCTTTTTAACCCCCCTTCTTTCATCTGTGGAAATGCAATATCTCCAGAGACATTGATCATCTGTGAGAGACATTATACTCCCATCACTATTGAGTACTGTTGACAATACGATCCAACGGATCGTCCTGATACACTAACCAGACTGTTTCATTAAGGTAACAGCTATAGTTGGATCCGACCACAAATAATTTAAGATATTTAACATGAACACATATTCCATACACTTAGTTCCTTTTATTTCTTTAGGTTCTCATAAGTTACTTACAACCTACAGTATTTTAAGATGAAAGTTATTGTAAAGTTACCCTACTTATAACAGTAAAATTAGTCAGACATGGATATGTTTTATCATGGTATAATGGTGATTTAAAACAACTACAATGAGAAAAGAATCTGAATCATCAAACAGTAGGTTGTGAGCAACTGGTGAGAATCTAACGAAATATTTTGCTCCATAGTTTCATCAAAGAAAAAAATGATAAATTAAATCCATTTTGAACTAAAAATTTAGAATCTTTATTAATACTAACATTATTGATGAGTTTCACAACGTTAATTGGTGCATGATTTACAAAAGTCTTCTTGAAACAATAAAAATAACCACATGTTAAAAATATCAATTTAGTGATATATATATGCATCATCCCAAGTTTTGCTGAAGACTGAAAAAATTAAGAACTTTCGGTACCTACTGTTGCATTTTTATTAATAACGCATTCAGATGGATGGAGATCTGAGCAACTGTGAGAACTACAGAGGCATCACACTATAGTCAGTACCCAAAAAACGTTTTCAGTAGAGTGTTACTGAACCAGATGAAAGACGCAATAGATGCCCAACTTCGATATCAACAAGCTGGATTATGAAGACCTCAACAGTTGAGGGAAAACATGGAATACAATGGACAGATTAGAATCAATTAGACGATTTGGACTTCGCAGATGACATAGTCCTCCTAGCCCATACACACGTACAAATGCAGATGAAGAAAACTAGTGTAGCAGCAGCCTCTGCATCAGTACGCCTCAACATACACAAAGGAAAAAGCAACGTCCTCAAATACAACACGGAGAACACCAACACAATCACACTTGATGAAAAAACTCTGGAAGATGTGGAGTCTTTCACGTACCTGAGTGCTAGGGTTGAAGCTATCACGAGTTTACTTAATCTGCGAACGAGAAACAAGACTCGGTGACCAAAGACGAGTAAGCTAGCTACTGATGCGACCCAGTCCCGCTAACTAGAGGGAGAAGTCCAAGCTTGGAATGGGGAAGTATATTTTGCAAACAGCCAGAAACGAGCGATAACAACAAACACAATTCAAAACTTACATATACAATACTAAACCGTCTTTGGAGAGAGTTACCAAATAGCATACTGAAAGACGCAACGGACTAATAGCAGTTAAGATATTTCCCAGTGGGAAATACGACGTGAAGGTGACAAGAGCGACTTGGGCGCGAGAATAAAGAAATTCAAATTTTCTAAATAAAATTACAAAATGAGGTCCTTTTCCAAGTGAGTTCTGGGGATCTAACGTCCCCAACACTGGGAAGCATTATCGGTGAACAAGGAGGATCGGATGCAGATGTAAAGGTGAGGATTGGCAAAGCAAGGGATCACATCCCTATAATTGAAGAACATATGGAACTCAAAACAACTGTCAACCATTATCAAAGTCAGAATCTTCAGTATGAACGTCAAGACAGTCATATTGTACGGAGCTGGAACGTGAAGAACTAATACAACCACCATCAAGAAGTTATAAGTATTTATAAACAGTTGTCTGCGTAAGATACTCAATATCCGTTGGCCGAATACCATCAGCAATAGCCTATAATGGGAGAGGACAAAACAGCTTCCAGCTGAAGAGGAAATTAGGACAAGACTCTGAAACTGGATAGGACATACATTACGCAAATCACCAAACTGCATCACGAGGAAAGCTCTAACTTGGAATCCTGAAAGGAAGCGGAAGGACAAATAATAAATTACGTCGGGAAATAGAAGCAGATCTGGAAAGAACTGGTAAGGATTACCCAGGGATAGGGTTGGATGGAGAGTGCTGGTGGATGGCCTATGCTCCCCCACAAGGAGTAACAGGAATAAGTAAGTATTCAGATGGACAGTGAAAAACAAATAAAACAAACCACCGCAATGAAAAAAGCATAGACATAATTCTAGTTAGAAATCAACGAAAAATTACCTGTAATTCATAGGCTAATTCCGATTCCGCTTTACGTGATTGTACTTCTTTCTCGTAAGCAGCATTTTGTAATTCAAAATCACGTTTTGATTTAGAAATTTCAATATCATTTAATAGTTTACCGGCAACACGTTGTTTTTCAGCTTCTGCTTCTCGAATACCAGCATCACGTCTTGCCTCGGCTTCACCGATACGTGCATCACATTTAACTTGTGCTGTTCTTGCTAAACCAAGCGAACGTAAATAACCCTACGAAGGGATGGAGATACACAGATAAGAAAATAACATTGATTGAAATTAGATAGAGGATTGTATAATATGACTGGTTTAAATCAAAATTGAATTTCAACTGAACGACCTGAAGATATTGTAACTGCCATAAAACATGATGGTGCTAAGGACGTACTGTAAAATAATTCACAATAATATTCATGTTAAAAAATTATGAAAGCTATTTACACAGTACTAAAATGAGAAATGGCTTCAATTTTTGAAGTAAACTAAGAGTGAATAAATTTATGATGGTTGCAAATATAAATCATTTCTGATCCTGTAGATATATAGACATACTAAAATTCACGTTTACCGTTTAATCATGTATTTTATTATAATACATGAATATGATATATGAAGTCACTGGCACCTGTAGCGAACCATAATGGCAGATGCATACTACCTGGTCCAAATTTTTGTGATAACCTTAATCATTAGTTGAAGATATTAGATGACGAGACCTAGAATTGGTCACAGTGACACAGATGCATTTAATCTTTATCTTTCCCTTAATATTTAGCTGCAATACTAGTTTATACGTGTATTACTCCAATGCATATCTTCTTTTCGAGCAATATTCTCTAATATCGTATTTTTTTCACCATCACTTATACTACTACAATTTAGACTTGTTCACTATTAATCCTGTCAATTTCATTTCTCTATGTTGACATGGTATGACAAATTGAACTGACACACATTTGTCCCAGGCTCTACGTTGATTATGAGTGACCAAAAGGTAAAAGCTAAAAAACAACATTATCAGATCAGAGGTATTTGGCCACTAGAACTTTTAAAGTCATTCGTGAATGGTATATAATATGAAGTAAATCAACTGATAAGATATGGGACATGTACTGGTTGAGACTGGAGTGTGTTATATACTTCAAAACGTTACTCAAAGTAGTAACGTAATCTAGGTACGTAGGATGGTAGAATAACTCATTAGAGTTCATTAACAACTGGTCTGAACTATGTACACAACCAAGAATGAATAGGGTAGGCATCGTGAAATAAAAAATCCCCGGTTATTAACAATTTTAGCTGATGTAAGAATCGATCACAGAAATATAAATATCATATTATCATAAATACTACACATTTTTTTGGATTCGCCCAATACCAGCTTCATTTATTTCGAAATTTTCAGATTAGGTAAAAAATTTACTTATCAATCCATCTATGTTTATTACTATTGACTAATTTACACCACGAATGTATGTGAATTATTCTAAATTCAATTAAACCACCTTATGTGCATTGCTTATGCTTCTGAGTTATTTGTTACTAAAGTATAATCAAGAGATCCTCTCTTGCGTACCGACAAACGGTTCTCAATGAACTACTTGCGCACTTACCTTTACAACTGTAGGTGAACAAACATATGTACATTAAGATATTCAACCAAGGTAACTTGTCCTTTATGCAGGTATGTAGTGGTGAATAACTAGTGTAAGATACTTGAAATGATGGTCAGGTTATCACGAGAGCGGCTTATGCATCATATGATCAGGACTTTATCTGATTCATTATCTTTAAGTATCAGATTAATGTATATTTTCTTTTTTACAGTCATAACCGTTGGATGACTGATCTTCTTAAATATACAACAAATATAATCATTATTATAATTAAATGAAACTGACACTTACAGTTCACACAATATTGTGATTTCAGTAATAATACCTGTTATTGTCTCTTTACTCAATAGTGTGTGTTGGATTAAACATTTTATGATTTATTGTTCCACAGTTATATAACATACCCTTGCAGGCCAGGGTAATTTTACATTGGATTTCAGGAGAACCCGACTTTGACGTGACAACTCAAACAGTACAGCTCAATGCTGTTTAACAGGAAAGCCAGACACAGCCCAGGTTTAATCCGAGAAGTACATTCTTATATAAGTGCCCCTAACTTTTGCAGTATTTCATATTATAACTCATTAAATATGAGTTTATATACTCTATTATTTCTGTGTAGTGATAGTATTCTACTGCTCATATCAAAGTAAGTGATCTGTTATTTAAAAGCCCAGTGCATTAGACACCTAAATTATCATCCTAATCTGTTGAGTTTGTGTAGTAAACCCTATACGAATATTCAACAAGATTAGAACGAATAGTTTGACAGAAATTGGGCGCCGACTATAGAGAAGACATTATATGTAAAAATTATATTTCAAATAATTTCAGCGATTAAAATTTAAAATAATTCCAACGTTTTGTCCAGCTAACTTGTCTAGACTTCTTTAGGGTAATAATCAAAATCATCGAAGAACTATATAGCGTTTAACAATCAAATCTATGCTATGTTAATCTAATCATATTTGGATGTTAATTTTAGTAAATAGGATAACATGAGTCAGTTAAATTGTATTGTATGCAAATCCACGTCAACTACTTCCTTACCAAAATCTATGGAAAATTTGAATGAGTTATATTATTACATCAAAAGTACTCCACAAAAATGGTAGTAAAATATAAGTGAGATGAAAGTCTACTGAGACACATTTCAATGATATTCTAACATTATGTAGGATAAACTATAACACGTAGTCATTGATATCCTATTTTTATTCAGCTGACCACTTCATTATTAACCATTATCTAATGTAGCAAAGATATAATAGCAGGAATTACCAATTTAATTATTTCAGACCCTATAAGTTAATAAAAACTCATCAAAGTTTGTAGGACAAAATAAATTCATTATTCTACTTCATGGTTTCTTATCAGCTGGATCCAACATATAGTAGAATGAATTCATTTTTATTGTCCAAATCTTGTTATTCTTGCTTTGGTTAAATTTATCAACGGATCTAGTTGGAAGAAATTCAATCGCATCACAAAAAGTAGTTATTGTAACTTCGTGATCTGCCGACCAATAATAATAATAATAATGAACAGAGATAGACGGTGGGTAGCAGTGGAATCCGCGACGCGCGTTTCGTCCTACGTGGGACCCATCAGCTCGATGTACCTTCCACCATCCATCTCTGTTCACAATGCTTCTGACTTGAGGCAATATCGGGGTAAATTGTACAACATACATATATGCCAAAAAGTGACTGATCAATTGCAGTCCTAAACGTCAATGGGAAGCTCCAAATAATCAGTACAAGATGAATAGTAATAATTATAATCTGGCTTTTTTAAGTGGTGTTACAATCTCTGAGTCTATACTATATTACCAACAATCACTGAGCTCCAAAGAAATTCAGTTAATGAACTGTAGATTCAATTAAACACGCATTTTGAATCCTACTGTTACTAACTATCACGTGTAATTATATATGTGCACAGGTACAAGCTACCTGGTTGGGGACTTTGGGTGGAATTAACTGAAAATCAGCCCCAATGGGGCAGATGAGTTCACTTGTTGTTCTCTCTTAGATCCTGACTCTTAAAATTATTTTATGCTTTTCTGTTCTGAGAATTCACTGTATTGTCTAGAATCATATTGTTTATGTCTAATCTAAGCTTCCAGGGGCTCTGAAAGAGCCAAAAAGATCCCATCTAATCACAACCTGGTAGAATTTTCTAGAAAATCAACGTGTGGATGGACAAGTGTATAAACTTCCTGCTTGACGATTGGGTACCCCAAAATGCCCTGGTGCGGATGAGGATGGGGAGAGTCCGTCTTCCCTCTCAAAACGCTCTCAACATGACCACGCATATAATAATGATGTTACAGCACATATGGAAAACTATATATACACCTGTTTTTCTGTACATTTTGACACTGTAGTAAACGCTTTTCCTATTTTCTTCTGACTTTTAACCTGCGAATTGAGGGTTCTACACGTGCTGAAGTTATAGTCAAGCAGTAAAAATAACAAGTGCTACTTTTATTACCCTGGCATTTATTTAGTTACTTTCATTTTTTAATGCTGATATGATATGACAGCTTAAACTGATATTGATATGCACCAGATTTCAAGTTGTTCATAACTGACTGATTAATTTATGCAAATATACATAGAAAAATTACAGATAATTTTACTAGATTACTTTATAAATTACTCAAACTGATTAAAAGTAACCTAATCGATATGCTCAAACTAGTAATTTTTGAATGGTAACTAGATAAATAAATAATGTTGATCGAAACAACTAATGTTCAATGATGAGGAGAGATTAATAAAATATATTAATATGACAATTTGAACATTAAAAACCAATGAACTACTACTAGTAAATGTTTTAATGTTTCTATTAAATCAATAAGGATCATCAAAAATAACCTAAATTCAAGATTTAGAGGTTATCTTTTTTAACCTACGAAAAAATAACTTTATATTTGATCAAGAATTTAGATATCCAAGAATCAGAGAATCTTTATGTTTTATGTGGTATGAAGTCACATGACTCAGAAAAAAAAAATCTGACTGATGTTGAGTATCAGGTATGGAATTTCAACTTCGATCGGTTAACTGTTAGTACTCAGTGGTCAGTTAGTGCAAAAAAATATCAGTCTTACAGGATAACAATTGTTCAAAATAATTCAACAGCATGTCATTGATTAAGACATTGCGTGACACAAGCACTATTCTCTGATCGAGTGTTGATTTCTTTAAAATTGTAGGTAAGACTGATTGAAGAGTGTTCATGAGTATAAAACTAGGGTTTAAAACGTCCTGTCGATTTACACTAATCGATCATCAAGAGATAATCATTATCATTTTCGCTTACTTCTTAATGCTAGCTGATTTTATAGATCAATTTGCAATATGGTTATTCTCCTAAGTAATTTGACGTTATCTAGGTTATATTTGGATGTAATGGCCCTCTGGAAACTGCCTCCAACCATCTAAATCCTAACTGACTGCCTAAAGATACATAACATTAAACAGAATGGATGATGAACTCAACTTATTCAGTAAAGTGATTTAGTGAACTGATGTTACTGTGCTCATCGTGAGACATAAAGGTTCTGGACAGAGTTTTATGCACAGGACCTCCAAAACGGGACGAAATAGGTGTTCAGTCCTCTAAAGTTTTCCCCAACTACCTAACTGATGTCAATTTATGATGAAAATCATACTTAAGTTGGAAAAGAATCTCGGACAACCATATATCCAAATAAAAATTATTACTACATACATACCTCATCATCTTTTATATCTTTTAGTGTATAACTAACTACACTAATTCCCATATTCACCAAATCCGAACTGGCCACTTCAAAAACAGCTTTTGAAAATTTTTTTCTATCTTTGTATATTTCTTCAACTGTCATATTGCCCATAATAGCACGCTGATGACCTTCAAGTGTTTCTTGAGCTATTTCACGTATTTCATTTTCTGATTTGCCAAGAAATTGTTCACATGCAGCCGCTAACATTTCTTGGTTACTTCCATTAATTTTTACCTAAGTTAAGTTACATAAAAGTAAAGATGAGAAAGCTCCAATTATTGAATTGTTAAACAATATAAACCGAGAGTCCTTCTACGGTGGATGTAATTAATGAGAATCTTTAAAGTAGGTATCTAGGACATGTCCGAAAATGATGATTTAACCGCTTCAATACAAATGTTCACTATCTACTTTCTTGTATATAGCTCTCTATAACAATCTTTCACAGAGGTGATGTTTTAGTCTAATCAGCGGTAAAATGTTTCTATAGTTTCGGTTAGTTTGACAGTAAAATAGAGAAACATAAATTATCTTGATATAAAACTAACTCACACTCCCCAGATTTTGACAGTATCAACAACTAGCTAGATACAAGACAGAATAATGGGAAAGCTACTGAAAATAGCTCTCTCAAGAAAACAGTGCTTATCGTTAATTTAAACACAAGTATTGGTACAAAGCGGCACCAAAATATATATGCGCCACATAATAACAAAATGAGATTGAAAAGGGATAGAGAAAGAAATATATGGTAAGAAACACAACAGATGAACCAAAATAAGTAAATGAGAGTAAAAAATATAATAGGAAAAACAGTTCAATTAGGAAAAATACAACTAAGGAATTCTTCCAGTCCAAGAAGTTCCTCTTGTTTGTATGAAAGTAAACGAAAACTACACTAGAACCACAATTAGCTTTTATTCTGAGTCATGTCTGATAACGTCTTCTGAGACTGTGTTGTACTTTCTATGAGACCCCAATCAGGGAGTCGTGAAGGGCCAACAGATACCAGTTATGTACAGCTTTATTGCAAACCACGGAACCACGTCACAGACTGACCAGTTCTGCTTTTTCCAACTAGCCCCAGGGTCTGCAAATACTGCACGATATGAAATTCACTGGAATGACATGCTTAGTACATGTCCAAGTCACCAAAGTCGGTGTTTCAAGATAGTGATATAAATTGAATTATCGTTGCTGTGCCCGAAAACACGTTGGCGAACCTCTGCAGTAATAACATGGTGCTATCGTTGAATGTTAGGGATCTTTTGGAGGCAACGATGATCAGACACCGAGAATCGCTTAACTTCTTCAAGTCAGAGAGGTCATGTTTCACAAAACTGCTCTTACCGAAGCGCTGTAAATCCAACATTTTACAGAGCCTATTATCACGAAGGAGCCAAAGATGGCCCAGACTGGTATAAAACACTTGTTATAATCTCTATTATTACAACCCATCTATTCATATTGCTTAGTATCCTTGGATGACAATTCATTAGACAAGTTCCCAAATCAAAATACGTTGAACGGGAACGAAACTATATTCCAAATACCAAGGGTAGATAGAAGTAAGAAGCACAATAAGAGAAACGTTAGTATATTTATGGTTTTTACTTGAGAAGATTCTAGAGTTTTCTCCAAGTATCGACTAGCGCTGACTGGATAGGAAATAGCCAATCAGCGTCCACGGAACGTGCTTTAATCCAATCTATATTCCGCTAACACCTCTCTGACCTGCACTATACCTAATATGATCTCATCACTCACACCTACGGCAACACTTACAAAACTACCCAAATACACGAACTTTTTGACTACTTTTAACTGCTCACCACCAAGAATGTAGGCACAGGCTCCTACATAGTGCATGACAATATAATCCACATACCCAAGGTCGAAAGGTTCTTCTCCATGTAATAGATCTAAACTACCATTACCCGCTTTCATCAGAGCTGTTTCCTAAAGGTCGCTTATGGGAAAATTGGGGAGTAGTGGTGATATTAGACAGTCCTGCTTAATCTTATTGATCGAATGGAACAATGAAAAGAGGTAGTTGTATGCCCTCACTTTACCTCAGGTGTTTGTATATAGACACTTAAAGATGTTAATAAACCTTCCAGTCAAACCCTTTATCAACAGAATCCCAGAGAACAATCCTCTCTAATGAACAGACTACATAAATATGCCAAAATACGGTTAAACTTGCTGGATAGTTGAAAGTAAGTATCAGATATTATCACTGATTGAGATCACTAAACACAGTGCACCGCAATATTCAGTAAATTACCTTAGCTATGTTGCTAATATGATCGACAGAACTCAGTTAACATTTAAACTGGTGGAAATACTATCCAAAAACAGGTAAATAAGCAGATAGCTTTTTAAATTTTTGTAAAAACATGGTAGAGTTAGTAAGGAGGTTCAAAAACTGACTACGCTAATATGGCCATTTGTGAAAGCCGAATATTATCAGGTTAGAGCTTCACTTCTAATGCAATTAAAAAAAACACGATTCCAAGTAAACTAAATCATAATTCTAAGAAAGATTCCGTAGCATTTGTTCTTTTGGTACTTGTTTGGCTAGATAACTATAATTTTGCGAACATTAGTTTTTGTCTCCTTACTGAGAGTCTCACCGAAATGTAAATCAGAAAACTTATAACATGAAATATCAAGAATATATATCCTACTACTATATTAAGGTAGTGAGGTGGTCTCTGAGTAGATAAAATAGTATAACCACAAACAAACATACCTGTGCAACACCAGTTACTGTGATAGGGACACCAAGCTGAGTGTAGATTCGAGGGCTTTCGATGATTAATGTCATTGTATTCAATGGCATCCTTCATTTGATTATTGAAAAAAGTGAACAGAAACACAATTGCACAATATTCAAATTATTTAGTAATCACAATATAAAGTTAACTAATTAGAAAAGGTCGGATTTAAATAATATCCCAGCATACATGATTCAACGATAAGAAATACAGTGGTGGATTAAAGACTGAGGCATAAGAACTCGAATTCTTGAGATGTACATTTGAATCTTTTTTTCATCTACTTTAATTTCAGAAACCGCATAACATCACTAACCTACAATGGGTACGGTCCAAAGTCAAGTACAATGTCTACTTGATATCGGAGGTGTGCTCATTTAAAACTAGAAGGAAATTTGACCACGCAGAATTTCTTAAAGGAGCATGACAGACTGATGTTTTAAGTTTACATCAAAGAGTAAGATTTGATACTACATTGGATTACAGTATTCTCAACACAAACCTCGGGGAAATCGGCTGAGTTAGATTATAAGTACCATAAGGGTTACATCGTAGCCATTTTCAGGTTTATTCCTAAGTTCACGTACATGATTATCTGCTGCTTTAGAACTTGTGAGATAGCTATATATTTTCTGAAGTACATGAGTGCAAAAATGCAGTTGTTTCTAGATGAAGATTTGCGTAAGTTGTGTGTGTAGTATGGTCAGTAAGGGGGATACGATTAAAATATACCACCCAGTCGAAAACTTTCTCAATCTTAACAAATTACCTTTGTGTTTTGGTATCGGGAAGCCAATATCAGGACGCGAAAAACGAATCACAAAAATACTTACAAACTTCTGCTTCCCTATGGAATCCCTTTCTGTATCAGATAGTGGTTCAAGCACAGATCCTGAGGGATAAATAGCTGATGATGGAGGTACTCTGTCGACTTCATCGAAAGGCTTGAAAAATAAATTGGGTTCAATGGCACTGAAGGAGACATCTCCAGGTGACTTTCAATTACTACTAGTGTTTTTCCTTAATATTACAGAAGACTGAGAGCATATTTGTTGTCCAGTTAGTTATTTTGTCCAAATTGCTTTCAAGAATAGTGACATTTAATAGTTCCCAAATCTTCAATCAACTCTCAAAATCTAAACAAAGTATATTTATAGGGAGCATTCGGTAAATGGTTGATGGATAGGATCAAAGGTGTGGGTCGATAGTGAAAAAATATGCTATTCAACTAGTTATGGAAAGCTCAGTAAACAAAAATCAAGCTCGAAAAGTTTGTAACGTGTCATTGAGACAATCCCACACACATTTAAGCAAATATCCAAGCCAGGCACTTCATGATATACTGTTTGAGGTCTAACAGAAGGATACGACCATGGACACTTCGTCTGAATTGAGGGATTAATTGTTCAGTGATTGGCAGGTTGGTAAGAAGGTACCTTGGAACTAGATTCACTAGTGGATCAGTTCATTACTATTTTCATGACTTTCGAAACAAATGATAGGAAGGGAAGTTCTCACTTTTTTTCCGCTGAGAATGACTTATTCTAATGTCCAACGACTCAGAATCAGCTATTCGGAGGCTCGACATTTGGAGTAGAAGGCAAAGTAAGTCAGCAAAATCTTTTGACGTACTAAGCAGAATGTCATTTAAGAAATCAGACTCATTCGGACCCAAATGGTCCGAAATAAGAGAGATAAGATTAAGTCACCAGGAGCTTAGGAAAGGCGGTAGACCTGCTTCCTACTATAAGTGGAGTGAGGTTTATTCAGCCAAAAAATATAATAACCTAGCAGTGACAATTATGAATCGATGGGAATTTTTGTACTTGCACGTAAACAGCAAAGGCTCTCCTTATAAATGAATTCACGCAAGGGCCACATGTTACCTAAATTTTAAAATAAGTGTACCACACAAATAATTCTACTGAGAATAAGTTAACAGAACTGTCTATACAAGATGTCTACATCAATATATATGTGACATAACCGGCCTGCTTTTTGTGATTTCGCTTTAGAGTTTTTTTCCATTTTGGAAAGAATGAAGCAAGTGAATAAAGTACTGTATTGAAATTGAAATAATTAAGAATCATGCTCACCTTTCCACTCTTTGAATTCCCGGCCAAACAAATACTCGTCCACCAGGAACTAGTAAGGGACTTTTATGAAAGCAACCTGTGGCAGTAAGAAAAAGTTAACGTTTGATCAGAAACATGCCAGAGACAACCATAGCCTCATTCGGGCCACAGGTATTAAAACCCCAACCCATTTACAGCCGAAGATGAAAACTTAAAATGTCCTCCATAATAAGGTCTTAGGAATGACCTCAAATAACCAATGATTCAAATGGTTAAAATGGTTGGGGACGGAATAGAAGAAGCTTTCGCTTAACGAGCTTCCATGTCTAGTAGCAGTGGATCACCAATACCTCCAGGCAGGAAACTATGTATATTAACGGCAAAAGAGGAAAAATAAATTGATAAATCATAGTAAGATACTATCCTTAGTCCTTAAGAATAGGTCAAGTTACTACTAAAAGAACTCCTGGGAAGTCGCTTAGACTAGCTCAGCTGGCAGCAAATTCTAGCATTTGACAACTCTAAAGAAGTAGTTTTGTCTACAGTTCGTTCTGCTGTGTTGTGTCTCCAATTTCTGGATGTTACCCCTTAGGTTTGTGTTGTAGCTAAACTTAAGTAGATGTTTAAGAGGATGTTCAGAAGTGTCAGGGATGCTGTAAGCCATTAGAAGGTCACCTCTAAGACGCCTGCAATCTAATGGGTAAAGGTTTGGTGATTGGTGGCGCTCTTCATAAGGCTTGAATTTGAGTCCCCCGAACTGATTTCATGGCTCGCTGTTGAACAGTCTCGTGTTGTGACGGTGAATTAAATTAGTTATGAAACACTGTAAGCAACCTAAATGGTCACTATCGGAAAGCCAAGGTTCCTGTTTTGCCAAAAACCCAGACAGCGTGCACATATTTGTATCGTCTTACTGCGTACATCAATTTACATGTGTATGTGGGAATACATACAGCAAGGTGGACCGTGAATTGTAAGTAAGGTTAAGTGAATTCATGACTAAATGGCTACGAGGGAAAATGACTTTTAGCGGTCGAATAAGATCACAAGGTAGATGAATATCTTCTTCCATCGAGAAACATTTGGTTAAAACCAGTCATGAGGTTGATATCAAGTTTTTCTATTATAGTCTGATGCAAGTTACAAGAGGGTATAATAAGGTTTGTTGAAGGCTTGATTATGAGCAAACTGAAACCTCCATTATATGTTCAAAAGCAATCTTTTATTGCTTTTGATGTACTTTGGTAATAGCGATTTGATACTTAGCGTGGTTTTCACATTGTGTATTTAATTATTATTTTTCCCTCCTCTTAAATTCCAAACTGTCTGGTTCTGTTTCTTTATATATGATGCATATATGTGATCAGGTTGCTTAAAATGTATTGGGAAAATATATCTCATGGTTTTGATAAACCTAATCTTATCATCGCATTAACAAAGCTTTCGACAACAAAGATACAGAGTAGTTTCACAAGTTTAAAATCGTGACTGTTTACTTTGTACGACGACAACTTGGTTCTATTTGGAATACTGCCTCAGATAATAACTACAGCCTCCTCAATTCATAGCTTCAAGAGGAGACTTGAGAAACTATGATATTCTAATTATCGTATGAGCTAGGAATTCCAGGATTAACGCAATTCAATTAAGAAGACACAGACACAAACGAATGTATTGTATTTAGAATTCGAAATCAAGCATTCAACCAGTACAAAAATATCACCAGTTCATTCAAACACCACATCCGCCACAGCTTAAATTGGAGTCTAGGTGTTTGTAATCAATCGTACGTCTTCTTCTCAAATTCATCCTGAGTCTGTCTGACATTGTATTGGATAAGGATTCTGTATTATCTAGAATATGCTCATTAGCATTAGAATTAACAATCGAAATCGGAACTGACTCACCTGGTACCTGAAATTGTATTTGATCTACATGTCGACTGTGTGTACTTAAGTCATCGATGTCTAGAATTCGCACTATCGATTTTCCGACATTCTTCAGAACAATACCCGTAGATGGTAGAAGATCATTTCCTCGATAGTATGTAACTTCTGCAGACTCCAAACATCTCATATTCGACCGAAGAATTCTTCCTTTCAATAGCTTCGCTAGAGTCTCCTTCGTCACCGAATGTCTGGCATTTTTATATTGCAATAGAAAGGTATCTACTCCCCTCTCCAGCTCATTAAATGTTGAGGGGGCTATAGAATCAATAGCAGTCTTTAATGTCCTAACAAAATTCTCTGCCTGACCATTAGGACACGGATGTCTGGGAGCAGTAAACAGATGTTTGCACCCTATACCGTTCAACCAGGTAGTGACTGCATCTGAAGCAAAATGTGAGCCATTATCAGTCACCAACACCATGGGAACCCCTTCTCGACTAAACACCTTTCTTAATGCCTGTATTGTGAAATCAGAATTTGGCGAAGTTGTAAAAAAAACTTCAGGCAACTTTGAAAAAGAATCAATGACTACTAGTGCATAGTATTTACCAAGAAATGGTCCACAATAGTCAGCATGAATCCTCTGCCAGGCCTCAGACGATACTGGCCATGGCACCCACCTCGAATGATGATTTTTCAACTGATGACATTTCTCACAATTGTTTGCCGTACGACATATATCTGCATTTATCTCTGATTAGCAATTCACAACATCCTCGTATGGTCAGTCTGTGTCCAGTAATCCCCAGTATTGATACTTCAGTGGGTCGTACAACAACGTTAGGATCTAGAGCTTTCAAGCTCTTGAATGAAATAATGGACTCTATACTGCCTGTGTCCACAATAAAATCATGAAATGAACCAAGCGATGTATATAGTCGCTTCTGAATATGAGCCTTACCTTTCGAAATAGTAGACGAAGATAAATGATCACTATAAACATCCGAATTATTGAAATTTAAATTACAAGATTTACTACAGCTTGAAGCAAAATGGACAGTAGCTTTGCATACTGACTGAATGTGTCCTACCTTACCACATTTAAAACATTTAGCATTACGAAATACACATGAATTGCGAGCATGAAACTTTCCACATGATAAACATTTACCAAACTTCATCTCACCTTTGTGATTTGCTTTGTAATTCCTTGTTGAAACACCTTTCATATTTACACGAGAATAGGAATCACTTTTTTTGGTGGAGTTTTGTTCTCTGAACTGGATGGTTTGGTCGTGGAGCTTTCATCGTTCTTCTGAACGACATCATCAGCACAAACTTCAGAAGTTTGTGCTGATGATGTCGTTCAGAAGAACGATGAAAGCTCCACGACCAAACCATCCAGTTCAGAGAACAAAACTCCACCAAAATCATCCACCTGAGCTACAAATCTTCTCCACCATCTCAATAGGAATCACTGTTAAATGAACGCAAGTTTGATTGACCCTGAGATTGTAGTTCATCACGAAGACTAAGCAAAGTATTAGGAATCTTCATCGACTGGATATCAAGTTCATTGACTGCTTCGTAGTTAATACATGCAGTTCTAGCATCTTGAAAGGAACAGTTTGGTATTTTTAACAGCCCTCTTTCCAAACTCGGTATGTTACTTCCTGCAATTAATCGATCTCTCAGTTGCACATGAAGTTGATCACCGAAATTTAATTTGGCAGCTTATTTCTTCAATACAAGGATGATTTCCCTAAACGTTTGGTCATTTCGACGAAACATCTTATGAAATTTCGCCCTTTCACGACATCCAATACTAGTGCACTTTACGTGAATTAATAATAGCTCCTTAAGAGTTGCATAAAGAAAAGAGATAGGTTTTTCTGGATATGCCAAAGTTTTTATAAGCTGTACGCTTCTCTCCCAATGAATGTCAGAAAATGTGCCACAATTTTATCACCTTTAACATCTTCCTTGGTCATGCTCCAGACTTTGAACTTTTCCAAGTAATCCTCAAAAGCTTCAGGAGTTGAATGAATATCTAACTTTTCCATTGCAGGCTCCATCGCGACGCCAATATGATATTCTAATTATCGTATGAGCTAGGAATTCCAGGATTAACGCAATTCAATTAAGAAGACACAGACACAGACGAATGTATTGTATTTGGAATTCGAAATCAAGCATTCAACAAGTACAAAGGTATCATTAGTTCATTCAAACACCACAGAAACACGTACCCACTAATGCATCGATATCTTCCTTTTGAACCAGCTGTGCCTGTTGAATGTCTCATAATTTACCTAATATTATCGTTATTACTTATCAGTAACTAGTTTACATCTCTCATATCAACGTCTCCGTTTTTATTCTAATTCGTACCCCCTTGACTTCTTACACTGTTTCGACGACCGACCAATTAACTTGTATATTTGTTTATTGCAACAATCTTCTCTTAGAACCTGAATATTCACTTGACTACTTTACATAGTTCAAGCAACCAGCCAACCTCCTTACTGGTAGTGTAGTAACTGATTGTACCCAGAAACCTTGCCGCTCTAAGACAAACTCACTCAAACTATAAGATGAAAAACCCACAAATATCTACTACAAACCTGAATAGAACTAGCGCAACTGAGTGACTAGACTACTACTTATCAGACATTACCGAATGCCTGGATTCGTGCTGAAGCAATAAGAAGCGAACGCAAATAAAGCAGTCGATTTATGGAGGCTCGTGACATGATAGCAGTTATTGTACAATGAACCAGCGCTTGGTTACATAAAAGCTGCGAAGTTTCGAAATTCTACAATTTTCACTATTTCACCATTTGGTAAAATGTTTTTCAAGAGTGTGAGAAACATGTTGCGCTGAGTATCACATAATTATTCACCTTAATAAAAAGTCTGGTTTCCATCTTGTTCAGCGACAAACAACCAATGAAGAGGATATGAAGGCAAACAAAGGCGAAATAAAGAAGATGCATTGAAAAATGAAGAGAAAATGATGGAACAACGCTCCAAAATGTTTGCTTTTTCACCTTATTTGGAAAAATTGACATTTTCCCTAAATAACTGACGTGAAGGCGAAAAAATGACATTTTCCTCTTATTTTCCCTTTGTTCGCCTTTATCTCCACCTTATTGGTTGCTTATGGTATTGCTGCGTATTTATACACAAAATATTTACTTTTTTAATCTCCCCATTTTGGAGAAAATTTTGTCCGTTTTGGGGAAATAGAACAAAAACCCGATTTAGTTAGATGGGCTCGAGAGTGGGGCTTAGAAATCAATGCTAGGAAGAGTGTGCTAATGCACGTCGGTCACGGTAATAGTTACCGTTACACTATTGAGGGTAAACCTCTTCCATGCGTTCAAGAGCATAAGGACTTAGGAGTAATATTAAGTCATGACTTAAAAACAACTGCGCATTGCAAAGCAGCCGCTGTCAAAGGTTTTCGTGCGTTATGGTCACTTCGCCGAGCGTTCAAATCTTTTGACGAGGAAACGTTTCGAATTTTATATCCCATATATGTTAGACCACATTTAGAGTACTGTATCCAAGCAGCTAGCCCGTGTCTAGTAAAGGATACTAACTCCCTTGAGCGTGTCCAGCGTGTGGGAACGAAATTAGTGAAGGGTCTTTCTAGACTCCCTTACGATGAGCGCTTAAAACGCCTAAATCTTTTCCCCTTGTCGTATCGTAGGACACGAGGTGACCTTATACTAGCATTTCGTATCTTTAATTATGATTTGGGTGCTAATATGTCTTATCTTTTTGCTCCCTCCAGCACTAATAATCTCCGAGGTCATAGCAAGAAGGTTCATAAACCACGATCTAATAAACTTAAAGTGGGATCCCGTTTTTCTCATCGAGTAGTCAATGATTGGAACGCCTTACTCGAACAAGTGGTATCAGCCCCATCAGTGAATACTTTCAAGGAAAAGCTGGACCTTCACTGGAAAGCAGTGCGTCAGGATTAATACAGGTTCATCAACCTACTATCCTTATTACTGAAGACTGAAGAATCTTATAACACGTTTAGGAAATCTGTCCACATTTATTGAATTTTGAAATAATCATTTACGCAACTATATATAACTCAAAAGACTTTTGGAAGTAAACCTGAGTACTAATCTGGTGTGCCAGAAATGGTTGCATCGTATCAAAGACATTTCTACCGGTCCTGACCATTCTGGTAAACTGAGAAAAGTGGATTCAGTCTTAGCTTAGACTATTGTTCTCACATTCGTTAAGTACAGGTACGGTACCGAACAATTGGAGGCTGTCTTGCATTACACTAAGCTTCATAAGAATCGGACGAAGCGAATTTTTTTAGTTGTCGACCGGTAACACCACCCAATGCCCTCAAAACTCATGGAGTCTCTGATATACGATGGTATACGTGAATACTTTTCATCAATAAACTTTTTTTCACCCCCGGCAACATGGTCACTTTTGTATAACCAAACTGTCGATCGCGGTGGACAGATGGACAACCACCCTTGATCATGAGGGGAGGGCTGACGTCATATACCCTGACCTCTGAAAAGCTTTGGATTGTGGTAATCGTGTATGCCTTATCAATAAGCACGAACAATTAAACATCAAGTCACCGTTTATTGATTGTCTGACTTCATGTCCAAATAATTAACGTTTTAGGGCCAGGACAAACTTCGCTTTTCCTCAGGCTACAAAATGTCATAGTGGGATCCTTCAGGGTTCAGTACCAGGACCTCTTCTTTTCTTGATTTGTATAAACGGTCTTCCACAACAAGTACCGTTTGATTCATTACTTTTTGATGACGATGTGAAACTTTGGAGAGAGAGATACGCAACCAAGAGGACATACTGGCATTTCAAGTGGATCTGAGTGGACTTCAATGTTGTGAGGATAACAATGGACTTACCTTCAACACATCAAAGTGTAAATTAGTCTATCTGAGATATGTTGCAGATTGCTCATACAACTTAGGTGACTCCGCTCTAGAGGTATCTCGAGTTGAAGGTAATTTGATAGTTTTGTACCTTATGATCTGAAGTCTTATGTCAACTGCAACAAAAATATCTCTCAAGCAAACAGAGATCTGGTAACGTTGAAGCGCACTGGGAAACAGTTTGACGATAGAACTCTCCACTCGATCCTCAACAACTTTATTCGACTCTATGTAGAGTGTGGAATAATAGTGTTTCTTTACTCATTCCAAAAGGATAGCAATACACTGGAACGTATCCAAAGGAGAGAGTATCTCGCCTATTCTCAGTTCTGGTGCCCGAATTCAAACCTTACGGAGAGCTTCTCAAGTCATTGAATCTTTACTCATAAGAGTATAGACGCCTAAGAGGTGACCTTTTGGTGCGTTTTAACATACGGAGCACCCTCTCAAATATTTTCTTTGGCTCAGTCTTGACACAAGCTTTAAAAGTAGTACCTAAAAGTTATAATCATGACATGACGAAACGAACTGTCGGCACATCTACCCTCTAAGGGTGGTAAAATCCTGGAATTCACTGTCGTTTAAAGTAGTCCAAGCAACTTCCCAGGAGTCTTTTAAGAACAAGCTTTACATATTCTTAAGGACTTAATACAGTATCTCAGTACGATTTGCTTATATTATTCTTTTTATCATTAATTATACCTATGTTCCTACATGGAAGCATCAAAGATTCACTGTTACTAGATATGGAAATCCGTTAAGCAAGGGCTTGTTCTATTTCATCCATTACCATCTGAACCACTCTCTCAACTCATATTTTTATTAAACGTAGAGTTATGACATATTTATTGATTGCCACTATCCATTGTTGATGCTCTTCATAAATTACAAATCGAATGTAATTTGTGTCACGCGTTTCTGTCATCTCATAAAACTATATACTCTATGTGACACTCCACGTATTTTGTTTAGCCTTGAGAATTCACAGAAAACTAAGTAGATTAGTTGTTTAAAGTCAGAATTATAAGAATTTGAGAGTAATTGAACAGTAATAAACTGAATTAACTGAAAGTATTTTAGTCCGTCACCAGTGAAATTATGAGTAGTACCTAGCTTTCTTATGAGAGTATATGCTAATAGATTTAACATGGGATCTCTCAGTCTGAGGGGAAGGAATCAAAGGCGTATGTTAAATATTTTGGCATGCGGTTTTGTTTACCTAGTTTGTTTTTGAGTTAATCAGTCAGATGGTCTGATAGTTTCTTTTAGTAGTATGTCCCAGGAGTTGGTTACTCTTTAGACTAATCTATGATCGTGTAGAATGTGGTATGTTTTAAGCTTTTGAACTTTTTTCTACCGGTTCTTGGTTTCTTTAATTTAAATAGTCTACGAAAAGAGAATGACCTCCATGCCTATTACGAGATAGTTTTGTTACAAACAGGAAAATTCTATCACCTTATTCTAACAGCTTAAACCTTTTCCTATGGGCCCGTTTATTACTAATGCTTGATGATTCTACTCAGATATAATTTCGCCTAAACCTTAAAAGTAACCTATTACTGCATATGTTGGCATTTATTAGGTGAATACTCACTATTTTTACGTTTCATGACTACATTTTAAACATTTATGAATACTGGACATAAACCATGGATGTAGATCTGAATGTTTTGTGTGCAGAAGACACCACAAAAAAACTGTGATAGATTGCCTGAAAAACGTATGCCGTTTATACAGGTAAAAACGTATAGATCGTGAGCTTTAAATTCATTCATCAGATGCTATGTAACTTATTAAGTTCAGTACCTGACGCTTATCACGTCTATTTTGAGCTGTACGTTATGTTATCAAAACCTATTACACCTAAAAGAAGAACAAATAAAGAACCAAAGTCAGTTCCGGTAGCCAAATAAGCATCATATGAACCACTGACACTACTGTCGTGACTCGATAGCTTTTGGTTGTTATTCATACGTGAGACTAAAGTCTCTTAAGTCTGTACATATGTGATATTGTATATTGTCGTTTAGACATCTAATAAAAACTTCACTAAAGACACATGTACAAAACACTTAATGAATTTGCTCACATATAACTGTTTTGTAATGCTTTTTGTGTGCAACAAAAAGTTTTGAGAGGTTTCTAGTATTAATATCTTTGGTTGTAATACACCTTAGCACTGACAGGAGCCAACTAGTATTATCTATGTAAGTAGAAACAAACTCTAAATAAATTTCATACTATAAGACATTCTGAGACATAAAACCATTATAACATGTAGGTTCCTAGGAGCTGTCTTTCACTTTTTAAAATTATGTGGTTGTTAAAACGAGTGTTTTTCATAGTCAATAATTTTAGGACGTTTTTGCTTAGTATACACACGGTTAATTTAAAATCATCATACTTTCAACTAATTTAGCGTAATGTTTAGGTCTTTGAGATAAGATCATATTTATTTACGTTGTTTATTGCCGGGAAGATGGTGAATAACTTGATGTAGCTGACAAATGTTCTAGTGGCCACATTAAAATAATTTGACTTATTAAGTTAAACTTCCTCATTTCGAATAATTAGGCCTTATCTCCAACGTTTAAGTTTCTAGTAAGCAACTATGTCGTTTGAAATTTGTCATGGATACCTAAATAGATTTATGGTTTAGCAAGTAACATTTCCTTAGTTTCGAATGAATGACTGACAACTGATACAAGTAGTTCGGAGCTAATATTTACTACCTTAACGATAAACCGGACAAGTTTCAACGTCTCTAAATCTCCCGTCATAAAATCAGAAGCTAGATGAATGGTGACAATTACATCCATTATTTAGGTTCGTCATATACGTTATTACACGAGTGAACTATAGCCCATCTCAATTTATAAATCTTACCAGGCGTATAACTCAAGCAGTTTTTAGTAAAAAGCCTAGTATCAAACTAACAGTCAACCAATTGTGATTGACAGATACTGAAATATGCAGCTACAATGACTGAACGAACAAATAAATCGCATCTGGGAATATGTAAAAGACATTACAAATCAGCTTTTTATTTAACATATTAAAAAAACATACGAAATAATTCATCACTGAGGACCTACCTAATTCTCGCAGTCCCCTTACCCTTGTTCTTTTTTCAAATCGACATCAACAATATGCTATAGGTAACCTAGCAATTTCTTACTAAACGCTTTCATGAATAAAAACTTATATGATATCCAAAACAGAATTAGATTCATCCAGTATGTTATATCTATACATCAGACTTCACCGGAAAAATTTACGACTCATTGTTTGGTACTTTGAAATTGTCGTCAGTTCATCCATCGTGTTGCTGGTGACTGTATATCAGTTTCGTTTTCTCCAGAACTTTACCTACTTTGATCTCCACAGTGTACTGATTTCATTACCATCCACATAATATCTCTCTCAAAATCTATTACATAAGTTATTATTTAGTCATTGAATTCTATTTACTTTTAACATTTCAAAAAATATGAACTTAAATGTTCATCATGTTACAGTATCTAATTGTTACTTTGTTAACGGTACGTCAAAATTAAAATTCAAACTCCAAAGAAGCAGAAGAGGTTTTGTGGATATTATAGTAATTCTAATAGTTCAATTCTCACGAGGCGGGATCGTGGATACACACTGCAGAGGAGTCCCACAATAGGACGAAAAGACAGTTTAGTGTTTCCAGGTTCTCCATGGTGGTCTAGCTTCCATTCACTCATGATCTCAACTAATAAAATTATTATAATACTCACAAAACTCCTTCTCATACTAATCAACATATGCTCACTAGTGACTGGCTTCAAGAGCTATCTCCTGGAGTTCTAGTGAGAAACAGTGACCAGTGGAGTTCAACCGGGTCTGTTGTGAGATATTAAATGACTGATGACAATGGTGGATGTATCGCTCAATTTCGTGGATTAGTTGAAGTTAGACATTAACACCGTTGGATCCCGACAGGCTGAGTGGTCTAGAGGTTAAGCGTTAGCGAGCGAGACTGATAGGTGCTGGGTTCGAATTTCGCGAGGTGGGATAGTGAATGCGCACTACTGAAGAGTCCCACACTAGGACGGAACGGCTGTTCAGTGCATCTAGATTTTCCATCGTGGTTTAGCTTCAATTAACTCATGATTTCAACGAATAAATGGTAATTGTTTATTTCATGAATTAAATAGCAGAAGTGAACAGGCTGAAATCATGAAGAGTATGATGAATTTGGAAATTATAATTAATAAAAATTTACATTATTCCTATCTATTAAAATTGAAATATCTCATTCGTTGAATATTACATCTTTCAACATGATATATGCTGATTTTACTAAACAGGTTAGATTATGCAAAAGTGATCAACTGCAAACTGAAAATCTTGACTAGATTTGTTTAATTAGGGATTAAAGAAATGAGACTATTATCCCGAGATTTTCCACCATCTATGAATGGAAATAAAATGATTTAATCAAATAAGAATTGGTGCTATGGGTAGAAGTATCATCAAAACTTTATAAGTAGTGATTGAAATTCTAAGTATCTTGTACGAAAAACGGAAGCTCGGGCTTACAAATATTCTAATAACGTTCATTTCTATCGCCAATTAACTACTTTAGGTCTGATAAGTAACTATCAGTTACAGTATATTAACTGAATATATTTTCGCATCAATGATAGTGTTATTTGGTCATAAATGGTTGATGACTATTAGTAACAATTCCTCAACCCAAGTTCCCCACTAGTTAATGCTCACTAACGAGGGGTATCTGCGATTTTGAGTAATCTATGATTTGAGTTACTTAAACTAACATCCACTGTGGTGTGGTCCTCAGATTTTACTAAGACGTTCTGTAATTTGTGTGTTTAAATACATTCGATTGTCCCTATCTGCGTTCTCATTCACGACACCACGGTGATCAATCTTCATTTGCACCGTTGACTAATCATTTGGCAACTTAAAAGTATCTCATAGTTTTGTTTGAAGATTTTGTACATAAATAATATCTTTAATTTTCCAGAACAAAAGCTCGGAATCCCCCTATATTTTATCTATTTTCATGGTTTATATTCTTGCTACTAACTAAAACATCACGTATATGTCACAGTGACCTTGCTGTTCCCAAATTGATTGATAAATTTCATAAAATGTTAATTTGCTTTCTCAATATTTTGTCTTGCAGAGAAATAGTAGAGAATCTCTTCAACAAGACTTGTCGACTATTTTCTCTCTTACTGAATGCATTGATATAAATACGATTGGAGAGTTATCATAGAGAAGGAGGAGAAGAAGAAGAAGAAGAAGCATAGATCATAAATCAATATTTTTTATAATTGTGCCCAATTGTCAGCCTACTACTTATTTCCATATTCAATCAGTTGACCATTGATTCTATCTTCTAAATTCTTGCATCGTTTCTATGAGTAAATGATCACTTTAACCATTTCATTTGTTTCAGTATGTTATCAAATAAACTGGCCATTATAACACACTGTTCTTTAACTTTTCCAGATCTCTTATTGTATTATTAATTAAAATACCAGAATTATCCAAAACTATTGCAAAACGTTATCATGGTATATAATTGTTAATAATGAAATGGTTGAATCAAGTTACTAATAAATCAAATGGATTGGTTAGTAAAAATATCAGCATGGAAACTACACAAACAATACTGGATAAGAATGCAGCTTATAGACAATCGTTAAAACAACAAATTAATCTAATCAATGAATCGCAAATTCCTACAACGAAAGAAGAAAAGCCAGAAATGATAATCAATAGAAAGAAAACACTTGAAAATAAGAATATGAATGTAAAACAAGCAGCGATTATTATCCAGTCAAATTGGAGAGGTTACTCTGATAGAATGAAAATAAAACGTATGAATGAAAGCATTGGAATTTTACAGGTAGTAATATTTATACTTTTATTTATTTATTGCGATAATCATAAGAAATTTAATTTTCGACTTGTGAGGACAGTTCACGAATGAACTCGAGGAAGAGCTAAGAAGTTCAGAAAGAGCCAAAGATATTCCATCCAATCATCTTTTAGAAGAATATTCCAGAATCCCTACGTGTAGCTCTCCTATTAGATAAATGCTGATAACCCCTTGTATGCAGATTGGAGGACTATGATGATGATTTCGTTATTACTAAAAACCATAAATATCTGACAGTTTTGTACTATAGATGACACTGTTTGGAATAGCATTCCTTTCACTTGTGTTTTGTTTTCTCATTTGCGACTTATAGAGGGTTCTAGCGTTCGAGTGCTCAAGTTATACGTGGTATAATAAGAAACTCAGCTTTTAAATATAACACGACTTTTATTCATTCTCAAATTGGGATATGTGCTATTTTGCTATTTGATTTTAATAATGATGTATCGAGTAAAGTCACGATTGGTTGGTGAGTTAAGATAGGTATAACCTTACAAGTTGTATACATACTTGTTCATGAATTCACAATTCATCCATCCTTTAATGCTTAATATACGTACAATATTAGGGACTTTTGGACAGTTTTCAGTTTATTTCATGGATAAGTGCCATATATTTAGCGTATTATTTTCATTGAGAATTTTATTTCAAACTCTAACTTTCTTTTTATTTTCTTTATTCATCCGGCTAATTGAGATACGCTGTAAATGGCATGGTCATAAAAGACATAGAAGATTGGATAACCTCATATGCGATAGTTGCCTTACATTTATAGTTATAACGTGTACACAAATTAATAAAATATGATCAACATATCGATTAAGTTCTTAATTATGGACTATTTTTAACCAGCTACGAGTCAATGTACGTAATATCCTTTAGCCTTTGTTCTGTTGATCCTAAAATAATCCTGAATTTTTGAATAGTTGAATTCATAAGCCAATTGAAGCTAGAATACCATGGAAAACCTAAAAGCACTGAACGGCCGTTTTATCCTGCTATGGGACTCCTCAGCAGGACGTATCCACGATCCCACCTCGCGAGATTCAAATCCATGACATATCAGTCTCGCGCACGAACGCCTAACCTCTAGATCACTGGGCCGGCTGGCATCCAACGGTGTTAATGTCTAACTTCAACTAATCCACAAAGTTGCACCACCGTCCACCATTGTCAGTTGGATGCCGGCTCAGTGGTCTAATGGTTAAGCGCTCGCACACGAAACTGATAGATCCTGGGTTCGAATCTCACGAGGCGGGATCGTGGATACACACTGTTGAGAAGTCGCACAATAGGGCGAAACAGCCATTCAGTGCTTCCAGGTTTTCCATAGTTGTCTAGTTTCAATTTACTCATGATCTTAACTATTAAAATTATATTTGACAAGTTTACATTGACAATTAACTACATTTTGATAACGAAATTTCATATCAATATTTTAAGTTTAAATTCTTTTATCCTTACACTAAACAAGAATTTTCTCTGAAATCCTTCAACTTATTCTACCATTACACAAGCGACATTTTAGAGAACGTCAATTGAAAAAATTAGAAAATGAGCAACAAATTCAACTTGAAAAAGAATCTCAGATTATGATCACAAAAAATCGTCATAAACGTTATCGTGAGAAGTTAGAAACAGAAATTAAATTATGGTCAAGTTTACCTGGTTGTTTAGTTGAAAATGAATGGAATAAAGAACGTGAATTAGCTGCTATATCTATTCAACGATATTATCGTGGTTACTATGTACGAAAATATTTGAAAAATCAACGAGATTATTTAAAACGTGATAAAGCTGCTAGAATAATTCAATTGAATTTTCGTAAATATTTATCACGTATAGAATGTGCATCGTCTGGAAAAGGTGTATCTAACATAGATTCAATAGAGAATAACTTAATCAATAATAAAAAGTTGGAAATCACTATGAAGAAAGTTCTCAAAGTAAGTATCATTTCAACTACTTAATATATTTTCCATTTATTCATTTATTTATTTCAACATATAGATATTGGTAAAAGAGGGCACCAAATATATATGCGTCACACCATATTTGTGTGTGTGTGGGCTGTGATACTGCCCGGGTGCCCAGACCGAAGCAGGTGATTTTCTTGGGGGGCCACACCCTGAGCCTTTGACCTGAAGGTCTGATCCACAAGGCAGTGGAGCATTGTGAGGAGATGCAGTCCCATGGAATCCGGTGACCAACGTTTGGTTCATATGCCATTTGTTCCCTCAGGATACTGAAGCCCATGTGCACCATTGATTTGGTTTGGGATTCGGTTAAATCGCCGGACATTCGCGTTTCGTCCTCTCATTTTCGTAAATAACACCCCGCAGTGAGTAGGACTTCCCTGGCAGAGGCTGTATACGCGTGGCCGTGTGAGAGCATTTCGAGATGGAGGGCGGGCCGACCCCACTCTCGGCCATACCCATGGACATTTGGGGGCTTTACGAGTTTAAATTCTAACACATTTTATTAATTATTGTTCGATGCACTGATGCACTGATATGTGACAATTTGAATTAATCTACAAGTTTACCAAATTCTATATTGTTTCTCACTAGTTGACCAGTGACGATTTGCCCTATTAGAAAACAGTTGGAATAGTTTTCAGAGGTATTTAAAAATGGTTCATCATAATATAAATGTAATAACTTTAAATGTTATATTTGGATGTATCGAGTAAGTATGAGAAAATAGAACATCTCTTCCTTTGTTAAGTCATGAACAATGATGTTCAAAAACAGGAATGGACATTTATCCTTTAGTCAAACACTTGATTTCCAGAGTTAAAATAAACTGACTTTTTTCTCATCCAACTTGTTCTAAGCTACAAGATGTTGATTTGTACACAACACAGGCCTTATTGATCCACTTAAGTAAATCTAATTCAAAGAATTCTTGTACCATCCTTCACTTTTTTCTTGCTATTTAATGAACTTCATGCATTCAGCTTTACTGATATGAACTTACAGATTATTAAACTAAATGTTTCATTTTTCCAATTCTTATTCTTATGGAAAATCATTTTAAATAAATAATCGATTGATTCATACTTTTATGATTGATGTTTCTATTATTATGCTAATTTCCTAATCAACTCTGCCTGTAACTCTTCTAGGGCTACTGCCGGTTCGAAGCCCTAGCAAAGGAGGAGTGTCGGGCATAAGGTCAGCATCCCCATGCCGTAAAAAACAACCTTGCTAAAAAAACGCAAACCAAAATGAACAAATTAAACCATTTAAATCCTGCCCTGGGATTTGAACGGAGAATTAGGACGTCTCATGGTAAAAGCTGTGATTCTTCGGAAATCGCGAGACCGATTTCTTTTCTAACGACCAGAGCAATAATTAATATAGGTACATTGAATGCTCGGACAATGTGGTTCACCAAGAGGATCAACGAAGAGATACAACTTGGTGGTACTCGGAATAAGTGAAACCCATTGGACCAAAGCTGAATGGAAAAGGACAGATTCGGGAGAGATACTGCTGTGCTCGTGTCACAAAGAAGAAAATTCTGCACACACTCAGGAAGTTATTCTGATGCCATCCAAAGAAGTACGTTAAGCACTTGTAGGATGGGAATCTCATGGATCCAAAATGTTTAGAAGGTCAGCGAAAGACATGAGAACCAACAGAGGATCTGACATAGCTTCGGATCAACACCTGGTGGTGACATACATTAGATATAAGTAGTAGTATGTGGCAGGAATCGGAAGTAGAATTCTTACTAGCTAAAAAGTAAAACGAGATAAAAAGAAATGAAAGGACGATGGGGTTTGTAAGGGACAACTCAAGGATGATATGCTAATGGTGTTAATAATGTATTGTTTCCTGATTTTACGAATGTAGTGTGTAACTTTGCACAATACAGCCGATTTTCCCTTTCAAATTACGAACCTATTACTCTACCTTTGATTTCACCCGATAAAACTGTAGGGAGTAATTAGCTACAAATGAATTTCTTGAATAGGTCCATATACTGTCGTTCACAATGTCACAGCACGACTGTAGTCATAACAAGTAATTATGTACATACCCAACAATTGTATCCTGTTACTAAAATATGAATTAATACAATTAGTAGAAAAATTCTAAATAGTAGCCGGTTACAAAGAGAACAATCAACACACTCATACAGAACAGTAGCAGGGACAAAAAAATGAATCAATAACAAGAACTAGTCATGCTCACATAACTGGTACAATTTCATGATCGATCGTTACATAAAAATGGAAAAAGTATTAACCGGTGAAGGAATAAATGAATCTTAAGTGGGGGATGTTCAACTTAAATATCATAAGTTAATTTAGTCCTGTAGATAGAAATTATCAATCTCCCCGAAACGACCACCATGTCTTTTGTCAGCATTCTTCGCTGTCAGACCTTGTGAACTACCGTAACCATATCTGTCATGTAAGGGGACATTGTCATTACTAAAACGTGCATAGAATATGCTTGTTGTACTGTAATTTGCACTAAGTTTCCCTTTTGCAACACCGACATCTCTATTATCCCTATTACTACTTCGGCTAACAAGTAGATCATATCTATTTATTAGACATATCAGCCTGTTTCTTAACAAACTCAATAAGATCGCCAAACAGAGGCTCTCAATCTCCTTTAATAATCCCGTAAGCTACCTTTAGCCAGTCTTGTTGAACGTGCGTTGGTAATTTGGAAATTATAGTTTAAACAGTTCTGGAAGAGTTTAAACCAGAAACGTAATTCATCTATCCGATAGTCAAACCACATGCTTGCATTACTCTAGATTATCTTTTCAAATCATCTGATTGGTCCCTTCTTGTATTAGGAAAACTTGACAGGTTGTCAGTAAATGTGCATACTGAGACATGCATTCGACCAAACGGTTCCTCTGGAAGCTTTAGTGTTTGACGATAATCTATCTCCAATTCTATCAAGGTACTATGAAAGATAGCACCTTTTGCTTCTCCATCACAATGCTGGATTACATAATTCAATTTAGCTCTAAATCCAACATTTTCATCGTCGATTCACTTTTCGAATTAAATTACAATAATTTACTGGTGTACCATCGAATCTTAAGATTTCTCTCTGTGGTATATAAATAGATTTTTTAGTATTTCATTCTCGCAAATGTTTACTGATTGACCAGAACCTTAACTTCCCTGATGACGTGGTTTTTCCAGTTACACGTAATCAGGCCAATCTAATTCGATTAGGGAGTTGGTCTAAATTGGTAAGGAGTCAAATATTTTGTTGAATAATGTTAAAATTATTAGACTAGTTTTAATAACCATAAATTAATATTGAAAAATGGGACAAGAGTGAAAAATGTGAATGTTGTGGTTAAATAAAAATGAGGTCATGCAAACGAAACCAAGACATTAAAGGATGGGTAGTGCAGCAGCGAATTGGTCAACACGGCAGCGCCGGGTGAAACAAGTTTTTGTATACATAAGCTGGGTTTAAGACGACTCGTTGCTTCTGTGTAATATAGAGGTCTGCTGTTATTTGCTACTTGAAAGGTAGTACCAGGGTTTGCTGAATAACCCATGTCTTATTTATGTTTTCCCATGGAATTGCTAGGTTGTTAACGGCCATTCATGATTAGATTCTTTGAGTTAACTGAAAACTCAGTTTTAATTAGATGATCATTATGAAATTTTTTAAATACTCTCTCTTAATCCTTGTAAAGTTATGATGAGACGTTGGTTTGGACAATTGTTGTGAATTAAGTCATTTAAGGTCAATGTATACTGTTCCATGTGAAAAGATTAACTGACAGGCTACATGATAAGGTGGTGTTTAAATCACTCTTTTTATTAGTTGATTCGACTTTTTAAATAGCAAGTCGAGTTTAATTTTTCTCGAAATCGAAGCTAATTAGTATGATATTATCGTTCATATAAAAAATTCAAGCCAGTTCCAATACGATCTGTTTATGCTTTATTTCTTAGCTAGATGGTTAATTAGGTCTTAAGATATTTTTCGTCATGAACTGATATTTTCCACTGAAGTTTGGGGATTTCCGAGTTGAATAGTATCAGAAAGCTGATATTCACCGAGAAGGTCTACGTGAAAACCGTCTAACATTGAACTATTTAACAGAATTTTACTAAACCGTAATGTTTGATTTCTTAAAACCACTCAGGAACATCAAAAATGGTGTGAAACACATCAGCAAAGTATGAGACCAATCAATCAATTAGAAGATGTCCATAAAGAGACTCAAGTCAAAATTGATCAGTATCGTCGTAATTATCGAGTTAACAGTATTAAAGTAAGATTCACTTGTTCAATATTGTTCTTCTAGTATTTTTATTCACATGAAGTGAAGTCTATCTACTTAAATCGACAAGAATATTTGCAAGGTATGGTGAGATATTAAGCAATAAATGACTATGTACAATATAATACTGAATCGTCAATGTTCTTACATTCATGTTTAGATAGAAAAGCTTAGAATTAGAGTTTATCGATGTCATTATTCATCTGAAGAACATACTGTTAAAGTTAAGATGATTTATGGATTCCGTCGGAAATTTAAATCCAACATTTTCAAAGGTTATCGTGTTAAACTATTTGATCGACAGTGTAACTATAAAACACAATGTTTTCCACTGGCCAATGACTAATTAGAACCAATTACGTAGGTTACTGAAAAAACAAGTAGAACACTATTCATCTTGTTAAAATACGTAATGAATGTTTCGGTCTGTATAGAAACGAAAGAACCTCTGAGATTGTAGATTAGCAATTTTAATGAACAGCAAATAAATAGAGTCAGATCATAGAATAAATAAATAAAATTTCCACTAAGTAATATTATGTTAACAAGACTATGAAACAACCTAAATGTTATTTGGATGCGATTCTCCTCCTCGAAATGCAAAATGTTACTTCAGGGTTGTGTGGCATCGACACCTGAACTAATGATAGGGAGTGAAGTAGTTGAGCGTGTCGACCGCTTCACTTATCTTGGAAGTCTCATCAGCCCTTGTGGTCTGGTGTGTGAAGAAATCTCAGCACGAATATAGAATGCTCGACTAGCTTCCGCCAAATTGCGTCATTTATGGCGTAGGCGAGATATCCATCTATCAATCAAAGGATGGGTTTACTGCACAGCAGTCCGTTCTGTCCTACTTTATAGCAGTGAAACATGGCCGGTAAGAGTAGAAGATATTCGTAGGTTACTAGTATTGGATCATAGGGGTGGCCAGACCAAAACATGGCACAAATCCATGAAGTCACTGTTAAGTGGACTGAGCCATGTTGGTAGATGTAGACTACCTGGTTGGGGACCGCGAGATGATAGCAACCGATGGTTAGAGACCCTGAATGACATGGTTCAAAATAGTTTACAATGGTGCAGGTGCATACACTCTTTGTGTTCTCCCAAATTCTAATCTCCTGATTCCTCCTTGTCTCTTTTTTCTCTTCCCAAATTTACTTCACTGAATTATACACCTTGAGTAACATCTTCAAACCACAATCTTCCCGTTTACTGCTTATACTCTTATTACCTCTACCACTACAGGATTTGAATCGACAACTATATCTCTGTGTTAATGTGGTATGGCAACTTGAACTGATGTACGTACGTACGTACGAAGTTCTACGTTGTTACTGACTGACTGATTTGGATCTCCTATATAACACTCAGCACCAGAAATCACTTGCATGTCAGATTAAATATGACAAATTTAAAGAAAATATCGTTACATAATCATGTACACTGTCTATACAAATTTAATGATTTTTGACATAATCATCACATATATTACATTGGTGCCACTCTTTAAAATATAACGTTCTGATAAAAAGATTTAAGGGATAACTATATAAAATATTCAATTGATAAATACGATAAATATCTCTAGGAAAATATGCTTTATTTGATTAATTATTGGTATTCACTTCCAGTCATTAAATTACAGATTCAAATTCATTTAGTTCGATCAAAAATTTAGTGAAATATAATAATTTTTTATTTTTTCAGACTACTCCTTTCCCTAACTTGGTATTGTTTGGCTTGTATCCTCCCATTGAGGTTCAACACTGCAATTGATCAGTCTGTTATTGGCATATGTGCATACTGTGCGTATGCCTCGATATTGCCTGAATTCACAAGCTATTTGTAAGCAGTGATGGATAGTGGCTAGCAGTGGAATCCAGTTTGACGCGCGTTTCGTTCTATTTGGGACTCGTCAGTTGGATGTACCTGCATCTCAGACAGTTGATGTTCACTCTGGGACTCGAACCCAGTAGCTTCAAACGCCATCGCCTCATCCTCTCAGCTACTGAGTCCTGATAGCCACTTGCTTGTGCAATGGGGTGAATTTGAATTCCCTTGGTATTGTTTTACTTGTATCTTCCAATTGTTATTTAGGACTGCAATTGATCAATCTCTTATTGGCATATGTGCATTCTGTAAGTACTGTCTCGATATTGCCTCAAGTGTTTCATTCTCGGTGATGCTTACTGACTGATCAAAACCTTCACTTTCCTAGTGACGTAACTTTCCCCGTTACACGTAACCTGGATTCCACTGCTAACCATTATCCATCTTCGCTTATTCGTTTCCCTCTTAATTCATTTTGAAACACTCGTTTTTACGAATGCATTTATTTTACTTTTAATTTTTCAGTAATACATAACTAGTGATGTTGACTTCAAATGACTACTTATCTCAACATTTTGAATACTTTTGCGAAATAATCATTCAAACAGTGGTTCATTTATTAAGGCAACTAATTTTTGGATATTGGTTTATATATACCCAGTACAGTATTTACTTGAATAATGAGTTTGATTAAGTTTACTAATCACAATTATCAACAACAACAGTAATGTCCTATCACTTCAATTATTCAATTACAACAGTTTGGATTACACTACATTATTCTTATTCTTCATCCGCACTTAATCAGTTGGCAATCAATGTACGTAGGTACGGTATGTGCTTTGCACCTTCGAAGTGCAAAGTGCTTCTACAAGACTGGCACGATTCTAATCCTGTACTCATCCTGGATGGTGAGCAGATAGAACTAGTCGAGTAGTTCGTGTATCTAGGTAGCTGCATAAGTGCTGATTGTGGAGTGAATGATGAGATCAATGCACGTATAGTGAAAGCCAGAGCGGCCTATGCCAATCTGAACCGTCTTTGGCACCTTCGTGATGTCAGTCTGGCTGTAAAAGGTCGGATCTACAACGCGTCGGTGAGAGCAGTTCTGCTCTATGCTTATGAAACCTGGCCTCCGAGTTGAAGATGTTAGACGACTCTCTGTGTTTGATCATCGTTGTCTCCGAAGGATGGCTCACATCCAGTGGCAACACCATGTTAGTAATGCAGAGGTTCGGCATCGTGTGTTCGGGCACAGAGACGATAATGCAATTGGTGTGACAATCTTGAAACATCGACTTCGGTGGCTTGGACATGTTCTCCGAATGTCGTCCCAGAGAATTCCGCGTCACACATTATTTGCCGTTGCTGAAGCAATCGCGATAAAAATAACTCAAACCGAATCTTTATATTCAAAAAGAGACAGTAATAAACCTATTACTACCCTGATAATTCAATTTTTTGGTCATTAATTTTATTTTGTTAATGTTTAGTTTGTTATATTTCTCTTTCACTGCCGAATTCTTAAACCAACCCTTCACCCATACATTTCCACTCACTTGGTTCTCTTTAATTATGTGAACTCTTCACATCCTATTTGATTATTACGTAACCCATCTTACCAGTTTTTTAATTCCATGAATCTTATGTAAACCCTCTATTACCTCTAAACTTACCACATCATTTATCTTATGTGCAAAGACGGATAGTGGCTAGAATTGAAATCCAGGACGCGAGTTTCATCCTATTTGGGACTCGTTAGCCGGATGTACCTGCACCTCAGAGTTGATGTTCACTCTGGGACTCGAATTAAGTACCGTTCGCCTTAAACACCATTGCGCACAGCATACACATATGCCAACAAGAAACTGACTAATTGCAGTCCTAAACATCAATCAATTGCATGAGATTAATGCATAATTCGATATTTTTTAAACGTGTTTATGCTTTTTAATGTTTATTTTCTTACTTATTTGTATATAAACATTTTTTAGAGTCAAACTAGACAAGTGACATTAACAAGAATGAAGATCGACGCCGATTTACTGTTGAATGAGTTCACTGACGAAGAAAAAGGAGAAAATGATAAAGATAAACAATTAAAAAATGGAATAAAACTCAAGAAAACAACAGCACTAAATGAAATAGTTGATAAACATATTGAAAATTCTGATATAACTAATGCATTTAGTCAATTCACTTGTCGAGTTCAACCACTGACACGTTTAGCTCAAATGGAACATCATGATAAAATGATAAGAATGAATTTAAACAAATCATGGTGGAATATATTCATGGATGAATGGAGAAAGAAACAAGATGAGTATATACTATCGTATAATAAAAATTGCTCAAATTTGATAGATACCAACGTTACTAATTTAAATGTTGATAATGATGATTTATCATGGTTACCTGATCGATTTATTGAAGAATTGGAGAGTCGGGATATTTTTTAGTGGTGAAATATGCCTTTTTCTTTGAATTATATCTTTTTACTTAGGGTAATGCATACGAAAGTAAACTAGATTGATCAGAATTAATTTTATTGCTAAGAAAAAATCCTATGAATTTCAGGAACTGAATTCAATATGTTGTACTTTAAATTTTTGTACACCACCCCGGTGATAACAGAACCTGTTACCTGATGTTACATTCCAACAGTGGATTAAAATGTTTCATGATGTCTTCATATAGTCACAATTGATTGCTCACTGGGTGGTGATCAATGTTATGTGTGTCAAGACCCTATTTAGTGCAGATCGAATGCTATCGACCATGTTGGAATGTCGCCACCAGTCTAGGTGACTCGACACTGAGTGCACTATATATTAAGATTAGATGGTGGTTGAAGGTAGTCGGTAGGAAACCCTGGACCCGAGTTTAGTGCTACTTGGCACTCGTCAGCAAGGTGTACCTGTAATCTTGAGGGACCTGGTGCTCCCTGGCGGATTCGATCCAGTGTCACTCAGCTTCACAGTCAGAGACGTTACCACGACTGACCAGCTGTAGGACTGAGATTTAATCACAATTGATTGATCACTGGGTGGTGATGGGAAGATACAAGTAAACAATACCAAGTGAAGTTAAACTTCACCCCAATACACAAACAGGTGGCTATCAGGACTCAGTTGCTAAGTGGATAAAGTGATGGCGTTTGAATCGAACGCTACTGGGTTTGAGTCCCAGAGTGAACATCAACTCTGAGGTACAAGTACATCCAACTGATGAGTCCCAAATAGTACGAAATGCGCATCTTAAATTCTACTGCTAACCACTATCCATCTTTCCTTATAAAGCTTGTGACTTGAAGCAATATCAAGGCAGTCCTCACAGCATGCACATATGCCAGTAAGAGACTGATCAGTTGCAGTCCTAAATAATAATGGGAAGGTACAAGTAAAAATCACCATGTGAATATGTTTCAAATAGTTTGTAAAGCCAACTAATAATAATTTAAATCAAAAAGTTACATTATTTTCATATAACTCAGTTAGTTGACAAGTGGTTTTGTCATTGAAAATCTACTCAATTTTCGGTTGGGCATAGATCCCTTGGAAAAAATCTGACTTCACCAACATCAAACTCGCTAGCAGTTTTAAAAACCAATTAAGATTTAATAACTTCTGACAGTTATTAAATCATGAATATTAGATCAGTGAAATGCTTCCGGACAAAGTTTGAAAACATTGTCAGATAGTTATAAGTAATGTAGAACCTCTTACATATGAGCATAAGTCCACGTTGACATATCATATTACATTGAATTGCAATTATCAAGACAAATGACACACTAGTAATAATAATATTAGTAGTTGTTGTAGTAGAAAAGCATAAGCAATATGATTTAATAAAAAAAATGAATTCGGAAAACTGGAAAGTATAAGATAATCCTAAAGCTTAAGGCCTAGTGGAAGGCAAAGACTTAATACATCTGTACCACTGCGACCGATTTTAAGCTATGTCACCTACGTTTTCAACTACTGTAGCACTCATGTGAGTAACGATTCATTTGATGATGACAATTTATGGATGAACCTGTTAACAATAAACAATGTAACTGAATATTCGGTTCACAATTGTTAATATACTGAATAAGCTGCTTATTGAAATCACAATATGACTATACAAATCTTACTTAGAAGCTAATGTCAGATACTGATTTTTATGTAAGAAAAGAAAAAAAAACATGACTAGCGACTTTTATAATAATTTTGATAACCAATCCATTGCTGGTTCCCATCCGGTTATCTTCAATCCATACTTCTCAATTTTCTGCTATCAGGAATTCCACCTCCGATTGCAGCAACGTACCACTTTTATTAAGTAAACGCAAGTAATGTAAACCAACGTAATAGTAGTAGTAGTAGTATTTCGCTATAGTTTCTGCTTAATTCTATTACGTTCCTCTTCGTTATTCTCTATTGATTTGTATATTTTCAATGATTGTCGTCCAATATTATCATTTGTTCTCTAAAATCCCATTTGCGCAGATTCTTAACATGACATCGGTATCCCATTCGATTCTATTATACCTAACTAATTTAAATTGGATTTTATACATATCAAACAATCCAAAAAAGTAGACAGATTAGTAATTCAGACTACTCATATTGTATTAATGATGAGTAAACTGTCAAATATAGGTGAATAATTGAATAAGGTAGGGAAGTTTCAAGGCTGGTCAATGGAGATTTTTTAAGCAGAGGTTGATGGTGGATAGCAGTGGAATCCTGGACATGCATTTCGTCCTATTTTGACTCGTCAGCTGAATGTACTTGAATCCCAGATTTGATGTTCATTTCACCACTCGGACCCAGTAGCGCGCCATTCACTTATCTACTGAGTTTAGATACGAAGAATTATTTTATGTTGTTTACTGCACAATTACCAAATTTTGACTTGTGATGTTCCTACTTTGCTAATTAGCTGTTGATGTATATCTTACCTTCTCCGAAACACCTACTATTCGGTTTTATACCACACATAACCTAATTATGTGTCAGTTGTGATTTTTTTATTTGTAGGACATTGTGATTGTGAAATTGACCCATAATTTAATGAGTTTTTAAGTTACAAAACCATATAATAATAGAGGGTAAATCTGCTAGCTGTTTTTGTGGACGACTTGGTTAATGAGGAAAAGAGGAGCTGGGTGGACTAGTAGTCACTAACTACGTTGTAAATGCATTTCCCAACGTTTCTTCATTGGCTAATGTTATAAGTTTATAGATAGATGAATTAACAATTGAATACTTAAGTAAATTACCTTTTTCGATTTAGACAGCTAGGGAGTATTAACATATTGCTACCTTTTAACAAGTTTGTACATTTATGCATTTAGTTTTGAGTCACATCTTGAGTATAAGGTCTAATGTTTTACTACCACTCAATGAGTAGAGTAGAATGGAATTCCCAATCATAGTATAGGTATCTTATTACTTGTATATTGAATTCACATGAAATATGACCTCTAAGATTAGCGTAATTTAAAGTTATTAGAAGTTAGTCAGTCACAACGTAGAACCTATACGTATGTACATTAGTTCAAGTTTCCATATTCCGTTAGCACTGAGAGATGAGGTTGTTAGGCTAAATCCTAGTATACAAGAGTATGAGTGGTAATAGAAAAAAAGTATGGTTCAAGAAAATATTATTTAGTGAGATAAGAAAATTTAGAAGCCTAAAATTATGGGGACGACAAAGAGTGGATGCACCTGCATCATACAAAGTCTCTAATTATTGTTTACGATAATTACGTGGATCCCAACTAGGTAATCTATACCTATTAAGTTTTTGATTAAGATCATGAACCGATTGATGTTAGACCACCTTTGGAAACCTGGAAGCACTGGACGGCCGTTTCGTCCTATTATGGGACTCCTCAGCAGTGCGCATCCACGATCCCACTCGCGGTTCATAATCTCAATCAAAAACTTAATAATCTCCACAACCCCTATACTAGTATACCTATTAACTTGGCTAAGTCCAATTTTCATTGACTTCATGAACTGATCCCATATTTTTCTTTGACTACACCTAGCTTTCTTCCAGCCTACTCCAACACCACATAACAACATCTGTCGAGATAGGCGGTGCTTAAGCATACGTAACATATGTACCAGCCACCTTAGTTGATGAAGATTTACTAATTCATCGATTAATTTTTCATTTTTATCTAGTAATCAATTCCCAACTCACGCATTGCTTACACAGTGTTTTTAAAGTACACGAGAAATGCTCCATAGACATTTATGATTGAATACTAGTAACCTACGAATATCCCCTAATATTAATGGCCCTGTTTCATACCCATAAATTTGGTAAAAACCAGTCGAGCCTTATGAATGCGTGTCGAGATTTCATCAGACACCGAACCATCAGTGCTGATAAGACAACCTTGACGAATACCACTTGAGATAACCAATTTTGATGACAGTTCGCCATAAACTCTGACTCAACCATTAGTGTTCCAGTAGAGAGTTTGTACAAGGTTTATATACTTCTTTCAGATTTCTCTCAGTGACAGACTGTCACAGAATCTCACAATCAACAGAGTCGAGCACCAGCTCAAAGTCTAGGAATAAAATGACAGTCGGACGTCGAAATATATGCCTCTGTTCCAGAACCTGCTGAAGTGTGAATATTTGGTAATACATTCATATCCAGATCAGCCTAGTTTTCTCAGATTTGTTTTCACCAGTTCTAGTTAGACATCGAAGTATTATTGAAGCTGAGATTCTTGGAATTATATTAGTTGAACTGATTACTCTGTGAGTGTCACAAGGGGATTTTTGTCCCTTATAGATTGCAACAACCAACCATCGAGATCAGTTAGATGAGATTTCGTTCAGTTTCCAGATTTTAGATAAGATCTTGGATAATTTAACTGCCAAACTGGGCGACAGTCCTAAAAACTCCCAGAAGTTAGTACATCAGACCCTACTGTTCTCCATTGCTCTAGATTACCTATAGCCTTTTCGGCCTTACTGAAAATTGGGGGACTTGTATCAGTCCTCTACATTGACAAATTGAGGTCAAATGAATTGTCATACTTGGACCCTGTGTATTCGTTTTAGGGATGCAACATACATCAACAGCACGAGATTCTCGAGTCCTGGCTTAATAAACCTGTTTTCCTACCTGACACGAGGTGTGAATATTAAAAGTTCCAATATGTAATTTAGAGCATGCTTTCAGGAGTCTAGGAATAACATTTCGTGAACCCAAATCACTAGAATTGGTGGTCAGTGCTGATTAAGAAAAATGAGAAGGGTTAGTTGTGGGTTTAAGAAAATTATTAAGAATTGAGAGTGGGATTCAATCGTCAACAAGACGATCTCGGATGCTGATAGAGATATGAGAGCGGTTATCACTCCCCGGTTGCACGCATTGTGAAAGGATATTTTTTCTCGAGAGATTTGTAAGAGAAGCTGAATTGGTAGTTGTATTAGAGGTCTGAGAGTGCGACCGCAGAGCCCAAGGAACAACTATTTGAGGCCGGTAGCGCACAGTCCTCTTATGGGAAGTTCTTGATGTGTACGCTTCTCGCTACCTTGCCATCGGAGCTTAATTTACTGCTTTTAGACTTTCCATTCTCCAACCGACCTGCCTGGCATGAAAGGACCTATAGGAACATGTGTTCCAGTCAATACAGCCCAGTCGATTGATTACGATACGGAAGCCCTATCACCACGTCAAGGTGGCAGCTAAGGTCGGGACACTATTAAGTATGGTTCCTGTATCCGTTGTAGATACACTCGGCATAAAAATTTCTTCAAAATCACTTATCAAATGATCAGTATTTGCTACATTCAACAAACCATTGAATATGTAATGTCGATTAATATGTCAAGCTCACATAGCTTATTCTATCCTCTGAACAGATCAATCTATTCAATCATCTCAAGCCATATTTTTTATCGTGTCATTTATTCGCTTATCCACCTTGACTGCTTTTATGTAAGGGTATGTGTATACATTTCCTATCTTACTTATCACATGTCTGTAACTTATTTTTGTCTGACTCTAAATATCGATTCACGCTTGGTTAAATCGAGTTGGCTCACTCGCCTTCACCATTGCGTGTCATTTCGTTTTGCTTCGCTTTCCGATCAACGATTGTACGGAATATACGAATTCGGAATCCGTTCACATACTTGACTTATTTAATTTCATTATTTACCAACGTGATTTAAGTCGATGATAAGCATATTCGAGGGTTGATGACATGGATATTTCAATAATAAGCAGCAAACAATCTACCTGGAGTCAAATCTTCGGGCTATTAAAAATGTTTTGTCCTTGTTTAATGGAATAATGGATTGGTCCATTATTAAATTAAATTATCTAATCTAATCTTCACTTTTAGACTTTATTCCTTCCCTATCTGACTTTCTTCAGATTAACGCTATGCTACATAGTTATCAGTTGTGTCAATTACATTTTACAACATGTAGGTTTTGGAGTGTTGAACAAAATACATTAATCTCAAATTCCTTTATCCCCTTGTCTCAGTATTTGATTCTTTTTAAATATTATAGCTTAATCATTTTGTGCATGATAATCATAGAAACTCTGTGAATTTGGACAGATTGGCTCGGGATAATACTTGTTTCATTTTTCCCACCTGTAGATAATCTCACTCCAGTTGACACGACTGAGTAAACATTCCTAATATCGGTTAATAGTAAGTTATTTATCAGTGTGGATATCTCAGTCACACACAAAACCAGTTACAGTTGCAATAGTTAATTTCACCGATTGCGAAAGAGAATGAGTCAGGTTTGAAACCAATAAGGAGCATCAGTTTCATCAAGATCATGGGTACCCCTAACTAATAAGTGCTAACCAGTATGAAATTTAAATCTATCTGTTTCTGCAGATTTCTTCCAACCATTTGTTATCAACCAAAGTCCCCAATAATGTTTTGCCATTTAAATCAGTAGCTATATAGTAACATGGTCAGTAAAATTTGATTAGTATTGATAACAATACAATGTAAAATTGATTACTACTCAATTGCCAGTTACCCCGCACAATATTCACTGATTTTAAGGTTGTGTAGAGTCGAAAGGTTTAATTTGCTTCATAGTTTCATAACTGTAGTTCATATTTCTTCTCCCCTTCAGTTAACTATAGCTGCAGATTATTTATAGTTTATTAGATTTATTGTCAATTACTTCTTTTAATCAACTTAAATTGATTTAGAATAGATTCTTTGCAATCGTTTAAACTATCTCGCTGTTGTTATTAAGAGATATGGCTGATCTGTCTCTGTTGGTACATGTGCAAATTTAATAAACTGTCTCTATGCGCTCTTTAGTTATAAGTTTCAAGTCATAGTGAAATAGGAGATGGAAGTGTATTCAGTTGAAGAGTCCAAAACACTATGAAAAGCGTGTACTGAATCCCATCGCTAGTCATAGTGAAAAAGTATTAAGATAGATTAATTGACAGTTTTTCATGAAATAAGATTTTCGCAATATATAAATAAAAGAGTAAAAGTTCACTTGCATTGCCCATTACTAAACACTATTCAGGTAGGTTACATTATAAATCAGGGTTCCGTTTCAATAGTATAACGCGTATTCACAACTGATGATGTTTAATTAAATCAAAATAAACAGATTCTATATCCAACCTTCTAAAAATATGTTATCATTATTCTTCACTAAGGTGGTTTGTAGACGGTGGAGAAGATTTGTAGCTCAGGTGGATGATTTTGGTGGTGTTTTGTTCTCTGAGCTGTATGGTTTGGTCGTGGAGCTTTCATCGTTCTTCTGAACGACATCATCAGTACAAACTTCAGATAGAAGTGAAGTGTTCGAATTTCTCCATATGTGTTTCACAGCTTGTTCTGTGCACCTCGATGTTGATTGGTTCTTGTTGACCTTAAATTTATCATTGTTTGTAGACATTTTGTTTGACAATTAAAACAATTTTCATCGAATACTAATATTATCTGAAGAATCGAAATTGGACAGCTGTTTAAGTACGGTTCCTTAATGATTCTTTGAAAAATTTCATTTAACAGTTTTAAACAAGACCTAACCTCTATAGTCTTCGAATATTTAGTAAACAGGATTATTTTATAATCCTAAGTTGTGTAGTACTGATTCTTAAATATTGTCAAATTAGAATAGAATAAGTTGTTCAATTTCCTACTATTTTTCGACAATTCTCCGGTTGATGTTAATTCATGATTCACAAAAATAGCTCGCGAGGCGGGATCGTGGATACACACTGCAGAGGAGTCCCACAATAGGACGAAAAGACAGTCCAGTGTTTCCAGGTTCTCCATGGTGGTCTAGCTTCCATTCACTCATGATCTCAACTAATAAAATTACTATAATACTTACAAAACTCCTTCTCATACTAATCAACATGCTCACTAGTGACTGGCTTCAAGAGCTATCTCCTGGAGTTCTAGTGAGAAACAGTGACCAGTGGAGTTCAACCGGGTCTATTGTGAGATATTAAATGACTGATGACAATGGTGGATGTATCGCTCAATTTCGTGGATTAGTTGAAGTTAGACATTAACACCGTTGGATCCCGACAGGCTGAGTGGTCTAGAGGTTAAGCGTTAGCGCGCGAGACTGATAGGTGCTGGGTTCGAATTTCGCGAGGTGGGATAGTGAACGCGCACTATTGAGGAGTTCCACAACGGGACGAAACGACCATCCAGGTTTTCTTTGGTTGTCTAGCTTCAATTGAATCATGATCTTAACCATTGAAATTACTATAAAATCCACTAACCCCTTCTGAAATATCTCCAAATTAAATATCCTTAAATTTCATTAACAATAAGGTCCCTTTTGATTTCTTCATATATAAAATAATTTGAGGATAAAATCACCCTCTCAGAAATATAATTATGCCATAAACTATCTGTAAGCATACAGTGAGCAATACTTCGATAAAAATCAATGAAACTTTGATGAGACATTTTATAAATATTCTCTATTAGATAGTATGTTTATGGGAAATGGGATGATAGTACCAGCTTATTAAAATACTTTCTGATGAAAGCATTTTAACTAGGTGAAAATGGAATTTAAAGTCCAATATATAAAGGAAACTTTTATGTGAACATACGTTAGATATGTTCAAAATTTAATTAGATGTCTACCGACAACTCAACAATCTATCCATAGATATAAGATAGTTAGAGGTGAATAATGTGCAGCTCAAGATCTTACATCCGGGATACCAAGGCCAATCTGTTATCTTGGAGAAATTGATGCTTTTTGTGAAACTTATTTTACCATGTATCAGCAACTGATATTGCGTTGCTGGAGCCACAGGTTACCTTTTATAAGATTGAGATTTTTACTCTGATAGATTATTAGCAAAACTGAAGAAAACTGGTACTTTCTACAGGAAACAGAAATTTTTAAGGTCCAAAGGGGGAAGTACAGTGTATAAAAGACGATTTATTATGCGCCGAAAATAGGACATCAGCGTCGGAATGCACTGAATTCTGTGCTTTGCTTATACTGATCTATATTCATACTTGAATACATTCAATCGGGCAATAAATGAATATTAATTATCCAGTAACTTAATGTATGCAAACGATTTTGGATGTTCATAGATAAAACTCCTTTAATTCATAAATTAATTAATTTACGGAGTTAGGTGGTTTGCTACTTTCTAACAATCACTTAAGTATCAACCTATATCAAATCTGAACCTTTAAGCTTGTTGTATTCTATCAACTTGATGTCACAGTCACCTTCGCTTAATCCTAATTATCTAGAAGCAATAGAAACTGATCTCTACAGTCTAATAGTCATCACTATGCTAAATGGTTACGGTGTGACAGTTTAGGTTGTCAAATTTCAACCTCTGGATAAGGAGTTCAACCCCGATAGATACATATACTGATAATCCTTATAATTCCGATTCTTCAGTTACAAACACTTATTATCAAATATTATATTATATTCCAAAATGAATACGGTTGTAAGCATTTGATGGAAACACACGAAATAAAAACGAAATCATATTACTCTGCGTCAGTTTTTTTGCATTATTCGAATTTATAAAGGGAAAAACTTATTGTATGAAATCGCATTACAATATTAACTTTACCAAAAAAAGAATAAGAATTTGAAATAAAGTAAAATCATCAGCATATCATATTTCATCTTTGATTATGGGAGAGAACAAACCAGATTCCAGCACAGGAAAAATTGCTGGAAGTGGATAGGACAGGCGTAAGTTTGGAAATGAAAGTTTACCTAATCAACATAAAAGTCTGAAAAACGAAACAATAGAAGAATGAAAAAGGGAAAAAATCCGTTAAAACAGAACAGATCAATGAAGACTAACGACTGATCATATAAATATGTTCACAAAAAACCTTCAAATTAGTTAACGAATAAAACAGTTAAGTCCATTAATAATTTTCAGTGAAGAAACTATTCTTTCACCTATGAAAATGTTAGACTAAACAATTTTGAGAGGCTTCTTATTACTACTTACACGATGTTACAGTGCTTCACCATGTAGTTCATAATATTTCATTGTGATAATAATATTATTATTACTATTATTATCGCGTGCATGGATTTTAATATATTTATGTCTCGTCCTACCAGAAGATATAGAAGAAGAAAGATATGAATGAAGGGGATGGTTGGTATCTGATAACACCTGCCAGGAGTCTACAAGACTTTAGATGTCCATCCAAAACCATATTACTAATGACTTCAAAAGATCCACCACACACCTTCCTAACTACCTTCAGCACTCTCTGTAGCACATCAAAGTATTTTTCTCAGAAGCCCGGGAAAGAATAATGGAGAACAGTAAAGAATAATAGGTAATATGCAGGAATCGACTAAATGTAAGAGTAAACGTTGAGTAGTCCCAGTATAATTACGAAGTAGAGATTTGCTGATCCAGATACACATACAATAGTCCCGCACTCGACCCATGTTAAATGAAAGATTATATTGTAAATCCCACAAGCAGCTTGAAAACCTCAAAATAATCATTTACATTCGTATTTAGATCCCGTCATGAATCAACACACTTGATCAAAGGTATCACCTAAAAGTAAACCCGAAAACAACCAAAGTATATTAAGTGAACCCCTAAATAGCATTGTGTAATTAGCAGATAAGTACATTTTTCATGGTCACACCTACGGAGTTCAGGAGATTCTTCACGGCGACCACGACTAACAGAATTATATTGGCAGTTTTAGCTCACGTCATAACTACAGAAGGGTTGAGTGATAAAAAGGCGAGTTAGAAAATATTGTATCCAGAATTGCACCTGGAACAAAATTAAACAATCATAGGTTTTAGACTTGATAGAAAGGAATTTCAACCCAGTTCTGTTTTTTAAGAAAATCGCTAGATTTCGTCTTTTTTATATGAATAATTAGGGATTTCTAAACTGCTCAAGGACTTATCCTCGTTCACATGATCGACTACAAAGTTTTAAAAGCATAAGAAAAGCAGATATGAACAATTTGATACGTTTGGCAAGTTATCTCGACAATGAAAGACACTGGTACAAATCTGATATGTTAACAGTCGATCCTTATCTTTACAGATGAGAGTCCGTATTTTTACCCCAGAATCTGGAATATAATCTGATTCGTAAACTCTAGGCACAATCTGAAATATACTAGGTTTTTATATCCAAAGACCAGATTCGTGTGTCAAGTTTTTGAGGGATTTGGGATTTCTAAGACTCATAAGGCCGAAACAAACCTACAATGAATCAATAAAGCTTTTGAAGCTTAGTTTCTTATCAATCAGTGAACAGTAATCGATGTTATAACGTATTCTTTAGGGTCGATAATATTTTATAATCTAGGATTTGAAGCGTAACCGGTAAATTGATAATTTATATATTACCGTACTTCATCTACGTTTTGGGCGAATGAACACAATTAACTGTAGTTAATTGGTCAGGGCTTTATGCATGTGTTAATGAGATTTGCCTGTAAAGCCAAGAAAGTGCATAGTCTTGCGAAACAATTAGGAAGTATTCAGCAACCACACTTCGAGACTTCGTCAACCTTGCGCTGTCTGTACAAAAATCGCTTTCAACAACCGAGCCAATTTTGTGTAATTGGTTCCCTTTATTCCAACCCAACTAATAGTTTGAGAAAACATAACCCAAAAACACTAACAAGGAATATCGATCATGAAGCAAACTACATACCCAAGACATAAAATTGTATTTGCCCCTTGGTACGGCCGAGGGTGAAGAGGGTCCTCTCCCCTTCTCAAAATGCTCTCACATGGCCACATTTATACAGCCATTGCCAGAGAGGTCCTACTCACTGCCTTTTCATGGCAGGGGTGTTGTTTACAAAATTGAGAGGACGAAAAGCGAACGTTCGGCACTTTAATCAAGTTGGTGGGAACAAAGGGTCCATGTGGAGGAGTTGGAAAACCCTGATCTCAAGCCGATGGTACACATGATCTCCAGTATCCTGAAAGGACAAATGGCGTATGAACCAATTGTTGATCATCGACCGCCATGGGACTGCATCTCCTAATGTTGCTGCACTGTCTTGTGGATCAGACCTTTAGGTCAACGGTTCTGGGTGTGGCCCTCTAAGAAAACCATCTGTTTCGGTTTGGATGCCCTAGCAGTATTACAGCCCTCACATAGATCAATGATAACCGCTACTGGCCTCATTGTTATTGTGTGGCGCATATGTATTTGGTGCCCTCCTTGGTTGATGCGTTCAAATAAATGATAAGTTTAGAACATTTAGTAATCACTCATATATTTTGACAAAAATAAAATCACAGTTTCAACATCAATAACTATACATGTGACTAAAGAAATCGGAGAATAAACCAGCACATGAGGAAAATGATGCACACGAATACAATTACATAACAGCATAATCCAGAGGATAAATTCTGTTTAGCCATTCGAGATAATCGAGACATTGTAGAGCGAAGAACACCTTCGGACCGATCAAAAGCTCCGGCCATATCTCCGAGTAAGCTATTTTGAGATCGTAATTCATCTCCTATTTTTATCGAAAGACTACGAAGTCCATCGACTTTCTCTCTGAGTTCAAGGTTGAGACGGTCATGATCATCATGTACAGGACTTGGCCAGTATTCTAAAGTGCTACTAGCTAAATTTGCAGATGCATCAATCCTCGCATGATTCGGCTGAGAATGAACATATTTATCGCGAGAAGTCATGAAATTACAGGAATTTGAATGTATTTGCTATGTGCACCTCAGATCCATTTAGTGCACCGCACAAAACAGTTGTCAAGATACCTACAAAATCAAGAGATAAGCCAGTTTTTTGTTAATGAAGTGGTAATAAACGTTTATAAACAAACAGTGTACGCAGACCAAAATATGTAAAAAAAAACCCAGTTTATTTTATAAGAATCCTTCCAATTATACTAACTAAGCAAAATGAAAGGATGAGAAGAATATACATATTTGCTAACGTTAAATTATGTGAAGAGATCATTAAATTGACTTCGAACCGAACTCCGGCTACCAATCAATCAGCCAATTTGACGTTTTAGATAAACAAAGAATAAAATAGAAGAGTCCTTGTGGTGCTGTCTGTTTCTTTCTCTTTTCAATGGCACACAATTTACGGTAGTTTTATTTGCCAATCAATGTCATTTTTTGTTTAGTTGAAAATGTCTTTTCTTTCTCTAATTTACTATTGCCATTATTGCAAGGTATTATCAACTAGGATCAATGAATTGTGCCCACTACCGACCAACTCAATCATAACATTATATCAAATGAATGATATATAAAGGTGTAGACTTTACATTACACATCATAACACAGATAAGAATATCATAGACAAGCAGTTCAGAAAATATATTTATTCGAATACATAAATATTGGCACAAAGGGGTACCAAATACATATGCGCCACAAAATAACAATAAGAATGTGAAGAAATAGAGAATATGAATGCGTATAAGAGAAAGGAGAACAGCAACGAACAGAAATTAGTGTATGACAGTGAAATAATAAAAATGGGAGAAGTAGTTCAGTTAGCGAACGTACAACCAGTTAAAGAGGTTATGTCCACTTTTATGAAAATAAAAGTTACAGCGGGATAACCACTGGCTTCTATTCTGAGCCATATCTGATGTCTTAAGCCACTGGGCTGCACCATCTCACGGACCCCAACCAGGGAGTCGTGAGGGACCAACAAAAGCCAGCCTTTGTAGCTTTCTTTCATACCCCGACACCATGTCATACACTGACCACTTCTCTGCCTTTTCCAACCAGTCCCAGAGTCGGCAAATAATGCACGGCGTGGAATTCTCTGGGACGACATTCGGAGAACATGTCCAAGCCACCGAAGTCGATGTTTCAAGATTGTCACACCAATTGCATTATCGTCTCTGTGCCCGGACACACGATGCCGAACCTCTGCATTACTAACATGGTGTTGCCACTGGATGTGAGCCATCCTTCGGAGACAACGATGATCAAACACAGAGAGTCGTCTAACATCTTCAACTCGGAGGCCAGGTTTCATAAACATAGAGCAGAACTGCTCTCACCGACGCGTTGTAGATCCGACCTTTTACAGCCAGACTGACATCACGAGGGTGCCAAAGATGGCCCAGATTGGTATAATCCGCTCGGGCTTTCACTATACGTGCATTGATCTCATCACTCACGTCACGATCAGCACTTATGTAGCTACCTAGATACACGAACTACTCGACTAGTTCTATCTGCTCACCATCCAGGGTGAGTACAGGATTAAGATCCTGCCAGTCTTGTAGAAGTACTTTGCACTTCGAAGGTGCAAAGCACATACCGTACCTACGTACATTGATTGCCAGGGCTGCCCACTCTCTCCATTCTTGTCCAACTTTGTGGTCGACATACTTTTAGAGATAACACTTTCCTCGTCTAGATTTCCAGGGGTTGAACTTCTACCAGGAGGTTCACTTGTTGACTTAGAATATGCTGATGACAGTTTTATTTGGTGAAGACGCTGACAAAATGCAGGGTCTTCTGACCACTCTAAGCAACAATGCAAGTATGTTCGGGATGCGATTCTCCCCATCGAAATGAAAATGTTGCTTCAGGATTGGGTTGCATTGACACCCGAACTAATGATAGGGAGTGAAGTAATTGAGCGTGTCGATCGCTTCACTTATCTGAGAAGTCTCATCAGCCATTGTGGTCTGGTGTGTGACGAAATCTCAGCACGGATACAGAAGGCTCGACTAGCTTCTGCCAAATTGCGTCATTTATGGCGTAGGCGAGATATCTATCTACCAACCAAAAAAAGTGTTTACTGCTCAGCAGTTCGTTCTGTCCTACTTTATAGCAGTGAAACATGGCCGGTAAGAGTAGAGGATATTCGTAGGTTACTAGTATTCGATCAAAGGTGTCTTCGAAACATTGATCGTATATTCTGGGACCATCGAGTAAGTAACGCATTTGTTAGGAAACGGGTACTAGGTAAGGATGGCAAATCAATTGATGAAGTAGTGAAACTTCATCAGTTGAGATGACTGGGACACGTGTTACGTATGCCCAACCACCGACTGCCTCGATGTGGGATGTTCAGTGGTATAGGGATAGGTTAGAAGAAAGATAGGGGCGGCCAGACCAAAACATGAAACAAGTCCATGAAGTCACTGACAAGTGGTTTGAGTCATATCGGTAGATGTAGACTACCTGGTTGGGGACCGCGAAATGATAGCAACCGATGGTTAGAGACCTTGAATGACATGGCTCAAAATCGTTTGCAATGGCGCAGGTGCATACACTCTTTGTGTTCCCCCAGATTTTGATCTCCTTATTCCTCCTTGTCTCTTTTTTTCTCTTCCCAAATTTATTTCACTGTATTATACTCCTTGAATAACATCTCCAAACACTAATTTTCCTGATTACTGCTTATACTCTTGTTACCTCTACCACTACGGGATTTGAATCGACCACTGCATCTCTGTGTTAATGTGGTGTGGCAACTCGAACTGATGTACGTACGTACGAAGTTCTACGTTGTTACTGACTGAAGTGCGGATTGCATGACTTGGGCATTATCACACAGTGAGACAATATCATCCTCATACTCAATGTCGAGAAGTCTTTCTCCAGGCAACAGATCCACACCATTCTAGGTAGTTACCAGATGCAGCTGCTGCTCCCATCTCATTAGCACTCTCCGACCACCAGGCTTCTCGGTCCTTAGGCAAGCTTTGCCCGACTTCATCACGTTACAGTCCTCATTTCTGGTCAAACTCACGGTCACCTGGAGTAGATCGACGGGCTTCGATGAGTTGTAAGGAGCCTGAACAAACCCAGTGTTTATAAGCGGGACGTTTCGCGAAGCCGCGAGCGGCTTTACTCGCCATTTTCATGGCGTCGTGAATTTGCAACCAATGCTCATCTATACTTTTCGGTGGAATGGTAACTAGCCTAGAAGCTAGCTCGGTTCGATACTTACTTGCAACAGAAGTTCCAACCAATTCGCTGACATCAATCCTTTGGTGACGATCACTTCATTCGCCACTGAAAAGTAAAGTAAGATTGGCGCAGACCAGGGCATGATCAGAATTCAGATAGGTACTTCAAAAGGAGCGGCAGTCTTGCGCATAACCACGCCAGCGGTAGCTGATCGCGGTGTGATCAATCTGAGTCCAGGCTTGAGATGCAGAGGGAGGACACCAGGTGGCACATTGGCGATGACTGTGCCGAAAGCTAGTGCTAGCCAGAAACAGGTTGTTGTCTGTGCTTAGTTGCAGCAGACGGTCCCCGTTATCTGTCTTGCGACCAACAAGTCCCCATCGGCCATTTAAACGATTCTCATCTGTGCCTAGACGCCCGACCAGAGCGTTCAAGTCTCCGGCTAGTACTACAATATCTGTCGAACGCACTTTCTGGGGAAGAACAGATAACTGGTGGTAGAATTCATCCTTGATTGCATCCGGGCTGCAATCTGTCGGGCATAGGCGAAAATGACGAAAAGACATCGTTTCTTATGCCGGTTTCTTCTCACTTGGATAGAACTTTCTAATCTAACAGCACATAACCGACCGTTAATGGGAATCCAACCGATTAGTGCTGCCTCAGCTCTAGCGTTTAGTGCGACATCAACACCAGCAAGACCAGACGACGCCACAGGGTCCCCGGATAAACGCACGTAAAAAAAGCGTTTTGAAGCGACAGATTACTTACTTACTTACGCCTGTTACTCCTCGTGAAGGAGCATAGGCCGCTCACCAGCGACAGATGGAGAGCAAAATTGTAGTACTTCACCAGTCTTGAATACGAGTCTTGGATAGACAACAAACGTTGATATTACGACTTTCCAAAGACATAGCCAGCCCTATATGTTGTCCGATCGGCATTAGTGTGCGAACGTTGAAGGCAGCCAGTTTGAATGGTGCACGTGTTTTCAGAAAAACTGTTTCAGTATTCGTGTTCGGTGGTAGCATTCAATTTTCGACCAGTCAGTGACTCGAGATCGTTTAGATAGAAAAGAGTTTCCACCAAGGGCGAGCTGCTGTATAAGTTGAAAAATAAGAATACATAAAGTGGGAATGAAAGAGTGAATAGAATTTTCAGTAAATATCGTCATTTTCATTTTATTTGTGTGTGGGCTGGGATACTGCCCGGGTGATTTTCTTAGGAGGCCACACCCCGAGCCTTTGACCTGAAGGTCTGACCCAGAAGACAGTGGAGCATTGTGAGGAGATGCAGTCCCATGGTAGCCGGTGACTAACAATTGGTTCATACGCCATTTGTTCCCTCAGAGTACTGGAGCCCATGTGCACCATTGGTTTGGGATCCGGTTAAATCGCCGGACATTCGCTTTTCGTCCTCTCAATTTCGTAAACAACACCGCCGCCACGAGAAGGCAGTGAGTAGGACTTCCCTGGCAGAGGCTGTATACGCGTAGCCGTGTGAGAGCATTTCGAGAAGGGCAAGCCCTCCCCGCTCTTGGCCATACCAGGGCATTTGGGGGCCATAGGTGACGTAAGTTGTCAAAAACCAGACGAGCTTTTTAAATCCGCGCAGAGATTTCGTCAGACATCAACCCATTAGTGCTAATCAGACTTCAAAGATAAGTGAAGCTGTCAACGCGTTCGACTAATTCACTCCTTATCCTTAGTTCAGGTGTTGACGCAGGCCAGTCCTGAAGCAACATCTTGCATTTTGAGGGGGAGGATCGCATCCCAAACATCCTGGCATTGTTTCTCAGTGCTACTAAAAGACTGCATTTATTCAGCGTCTTCACTAAATAGGACTATACCACCTGCGTATTCTAAGTCGATAAGTGGACCTCATGCAAAGAGATTAATTCCTGAAATTTCAGTTGACGAGAATGTTCTTTCCAGCAATAGGTCTATGATGAAATTAAACGGAAGTGGGGGAAGTGGACAGCCTTGTCGGACACTACTTGAGGTTGCGAAATCAGATGATAGTTTGCCATAAGCTCTGACTCGATTAGTAGTGTTCGAGTAAAAAGCCTTCATAAAGTTTATGCGCTTTCGAGGTACACCTTTCAATGACAAACACTGACACAGAACCTCTTGATCTACAGAGTCAAATGCTGTTTTTAAGCCAAGAAAGACCACCATTATCGGATGCCAATAAGCATGCCTGTGTTCTAGAATCTGACGAATAATGAAAATGTGGTCGATCCAGCCACGATCAGGTCTGAAGCCAACCTGATTTTCTCGTGTCTGCAGGTCATGAGTCTTTGTTAGGTGTTAGCGGGACATAGACTGGATTAAAGCATGCTCAATGCATGATTGCTTTGGTGCACGCTGATTGGCTAATTCTTATCCAATCAGCACTAGTCGATAGTTGGAGAATACTCTGGAATCTTCTTATGTAAAAACTATAAATATACTGACGTTTTCCCTATTGTGCTTCTGGCTTGCATCTTGCTTCCATCTAACCTTGTTATTTGGAATATAATCTCTTTCCTGTTCAACCGTGTTCTGATTTGGGGTCTTGTCGAGTGAATCGGTGCCCAAGAATACTAAGCAATAGGAATAGCTGGGTCATAACCGTAAGAAAGAGAGTTATAACATTGGGCATCCGATACTTTTTGAGGCCAGAATTTTAGATGCTATATTAGTCAAACTAATCCCTCTATGGTTATCATAGGATGATTTCGACCCCCCTCTTATATATTAGGACAATCAGTGATTGTGACCAGTCAGATGGGATTACATTCAGTTCCCAGATTACAGCTAAAATATTAATCAACCTAATCGCTATAACTCGACTACCATACTTAAAGACCTCTGGAGCCAATCCATTTGCAACAGCTGCCCTTCCTCGTTTCAGATTAGCCATAACTTTTTGAGCTTCAATTAGAGCCGAGGCTACTTCAATGTTTCATTCAGGATGTTTGGGAGTGATCGGTAGTTGTAGAGTAGCTGAAGGCTAGCTGAACTGCTCCTATAAAAGAGGACTCTCCCCACCCTCGGCCGTACCAGGGCAGTTGCGAGCAAAAATATGGAACGCTTTGCGATTTTGCGTATCATCCTTGCACAGAAGCCATGCTAATCTCCTCTGTATCGTTCCAATTTTAGTATACGTACTGCCGAAACTATTACATTGGATAAATTTATCTTGAAAATATTTGTTGTTAATGTATTTTATTTAGTCAGAAAATTCAGTCACAGGCTGTAGAAATTTCGATAACGTTTATTAACACTTAAATAATATCAACAGAATAACAGTATCATTAGGTGTTTCTGGACTAGGTCAACTGGAGAGTATTGATATTTTGAAGGGTTGCTTATTTATCCATTTTTCTGTGAGATGTGTACATAGACGCTCCAGTGTAGAAGAAATGATTAAGGAAGTCATTTGTGTTGCATCTTATGTGTGAGGCGACCTCACTAGCTAATGGCATAAGTTAATAATAAACGTACTTAGGCAGCTTATGAAATTTGTTGCTATAGTAATTATGTCCCAAACCAATTACCTTCCCTAAAAGTTTGATAGCCACTAGATATCACTTTTTGAAGGGATTAATAGCAGAAACGTTACATGAACAGCCAAAACAAACTGTTATAACAAATGCAACTAATACTAGGCGGAGAGGAGGCATGAAGGGCTTTTGTCAAACATCAATCATTATGTATAACACGCGGACAGTTCCACATATAGCACTGACTTGAGGTTTAGAAAGTAATTATTGCTGCCAAAAATTTTCATGATGTTTTCCAGTATCTGAGAGCCTTATATTTTATTGCACATAAAATTCGTTTTTTGGTAGTACTAATAGGGAATTATGAAAAACATTAACTACGAGTACCAACGTAAATTATCACTTATGTGACGTAATGAAGACTATGTTCCTTTTACCGGACAACGCATTTTCCATTAATGTTGTTCAGAATATACTGCGGTTAAGAGGGTAACTACGCTTCAAGAACGATTCCGATAGGTTTTACTGAACAAACGTCAGTGAGTTCTTCGGACAACAGAGAACAATCAAAACACTTACACTTCAGAAACTGGCTTTATAAAATATTTAGGTATTCCAACTTAATGGTTAGTTATTAGACAAACATACACTAAGATGGTTTGAAACAACATCCGTATCACATTATACTGGACAGGAATGCTCATATCAGTTGAATAAACCATACACGAGGGTGCGGAGTACAACTTTCTGATGTTGAACAAAAAGAATAACGATTATGTTTTTGATATCTGATTCACCTATGGTGCTTTCTTACTAACAAGCGTACTTACCGAGGAAAAAATGAGGGTTGCTACTTGTTGTAATATAATACCGAACCGTTGTATTTGTATACCCACCTGTTTGCATATCTACAACCAATATTAATTAGTAACAGGTACATCGAAAACTATTTTCTTAATCAAAACGAACCCGAACAAGCTAAATTTATTTTCACCGAATTTTAGTTTCATGATGATCAGAATAAGTAACATAACCTTGGCTAAGAAATAAGGCCCCATGTGGTCGCTAGATTTGATTAGAATGACATATGCCCCCAAATGCCCTAGTACGGCCGAGAGTGGGGAGAGTCCGCACTCCCTCTCGAAATGCTCTAACATGGCCACGCGTATATAGCCTCTGCCAGGGAAATCCTACTCACTGCCTTCTCGCGGTGGGGGTGGTGTTTGCGAAATTGAGAGGACGAAAAGCGAATGTATGGCGCTTTGACAGGGTTGCTGGACATGGAGTCCACCTAGGGGAGTTGGAAAACCACAATTCCAAACCAATGGTGCACATGGGCTCCAGTATCCTGAAGGAACAAATGGCGTATGAACCAATTGTTGGTCACCGGCCTCCATGGGACTGCATCTCCTTACGATGCTCCACTACCTTGTGGGTCAGACATTCAGGTCGAAGGCTCCGGGTCTGGCCGCCTAATAAAACCACCTGCTTCAGTTCGGGCACCCGGGCAGTATCACAGCCCTCACAAAGCAAATGGGATTTGTGTGGCGCACATGTATTTGGTGCCTACTTGCACCAATATCTGTGTTAAAATAAATAAAAGAATGACATATACACACATAAATAACACTAAACACTTCACATCGAACAACTCAGACTGGCGATGTAAATTCAAAGTCAATATTTGGACGCTGTCAGAAAACATTTTGACGTGTGTTTATTCTCAACCTTACTTGTCTTTAAGAGTTTGGGTGGTTTCCATGAAAAATCTCGAACCTCAATGTTACTTTAATTTACTTAATTTTAATAGTCGACGTGGTTGAGACCGTTAAACTTTTCACGTAGTTTGGTCTATATCAAATTATTATTGTGATAGAGGTAGTTATTGAGAATATGTTGGCTAGGAATCAAAGACTAGATTCTTACTGCTTGAGGCTTATGTTAAAAGAGCTAGTGAAGGTCCTGGACAACTTGGTCAAACAACTTAGCACATAAAAACCGTTAGAAGCTTATTGTTGGTAACACACCAGGTAGTTAAATTGCATAAAATATAACCCTTGTGTAAAAGCTCCAGCCTTACCATACATTTAACAATCAATGAGTAAACTACTTGTCGACCGAACATAAGTTGACGAGTGGTCTAGCATCTTGACCAACGACAAGCATTCAACAATTATTAATAAACATAACAATTAAAACGGATAACTAATGTTTTGTTGACACTCCGAATTATATCCATTTAGAGCGCAAGAACGCTTCCCCTTCCTAATCTCCATATTTTGGGGGAAAATGTCCGTTCTTGGGAAAACTTGGGGAAGCCGCAATATCGGACTTCATGAAGAGGGAACAAAAACCTCAAAATTTCCCGGGTCTGGGTAAATTCCTCAAAATTTTTGGATTTTCCCCGATATTTCCTCGAAATCTTGTAACAACAGGGTTTTCCTCAGAATTTCCCAAAAATAGGAAGATTGGGCCGAACGGCCGCCTAATAACAGTAAGTTTAGTACGAATCCAAACTAGACTCGGTTCCTTGAGATATTATTAAGTGACTAATAGTTCTTGATAAAGGTCTAATGTATACAACATTCGAAGTTAAACGCGTTATAACTCTCATTGTTTAGACAAAGACCTTATTTGACAACACGAGAAACGAAACATTTCCGCTCAACAGACTTTTAAGAACTTACCGCTGGTCCCAGAGTCAACAGTCTTATTATCAAGTTTAAGAGCACTTAGCATATCTAGAAAGTACCACAGACAGCACTTACGCGTCAGTCGTAACGCAACGACGTGAATGCCATACATCCAATATCCAATATCTTCATGACAAGCTTGCATAAACTATTTGATTACTTTGCTATCTCTTCTCGTAGTTTCGGTACGGTTTCAGGTCTGTGGCAGTGTCAAATGTGCTATAATTCACCCACTCGACTGTGTTAGTTCTAGTCCTTTTCATAATAGTCATTTGTGAATTTGTACATCTCGTATTTCGAGTGTGTTTGTCTGAAGATAGTAAAGTTTCTGGATGCCGGCAGCCATCTCATTACCAGGAAGGGGGTCGTTTGGTTAGTTGCAACGTGAAAAATAATTAGTATGTTAACAGATTATCGTCTCAAGAAGTGAATAAATCAGTGTTTATTAATTAGTAATTCAGAACGCTTGGGTAGTCTGGTGTAAGAATAAAAAGGCGACAGAGATGTTAAGAAGCAGGATAGGAATAAGTCGACAGTATGTCATAGTAATAACAATTGTTGATTAGTTACAAGGCATGCATCAGACGCAGTTGATCCAAGAGGGAGACGATAATCCATGAGTATGTGTTTGTCACGTCTCCTCTTGAAGTCATTCACTAAGCAACAGTCCTGGATAGAACACGCCAATTCATATCCTCACAGAAAGGGGAGCTGTATTTGGTTTTGTTGGATTTTCTATTAGTCTGAGCTGGTGTCCATACTCCCTGTGGTTAATCACCATAAATAGCACTCCGCATGTAGCTCTCCTAGAGTTACTGCCGAGCCAAAGCCCAGGTAAAGAAGAAGGATTGGGAATAGGGTTTGCGACCCCATCCCGTATAGAGTGCTTTTATGAACTATTGAATAGACCAGCTTCATTGAATCGACCGAACATTGAAGCAACACACACAGACCTTCTTATAGATGTCAATCCACCAACAACCGAAGAAATTAGGATGGCCATCAGACAAATCAAGAGCGCGAAAGCAGCAGGACCCGAAAATATACCAGCTGAAGCACTGAAGTCAGACGTCGAAGTAACTACAAACATACTTCATCTTTTATTCAAGAAGATTTGTGAGGAGGAAAAAGTGGCGATGGACTTGAAAGAAGGACAACTCATCAAGATTGCAAGGAAAGATCTGAGCAAATGTGAAAACTAAACTACAGAGGCATTACACTACTGCCAGTACCACGAAAAGTTTACAACAGATTGTTGATTAACTGGATGAGAGATTCAGTAGATTCTCAGCTATGAGATCAACAGACTGGATTCCTTAAGGATCGGTCGTCTACAAACCAAACTGTAACACTACGGATCATTGTTGAACAGTCAGTTGAGTGGAAGTCGTCACTATACATCAACTTCCTTGACTATGAGAAGGCGTTTGACAGTGTGGACAAGCGAATCTTATAGAAACTTCTTCGACACTATGGTATACCTGAGATCGTCAACACCATGCAGGACTCATACGACGGACTACAGTGCAAAGTAGTGCACGGAAGACAGCCGACAGACCCGTTCCAAGTGAGGACCGGAGTCGGACAAGTCTGCTTACTCTCTCGCTTCCTCTTTCTACTGGTGGTTGACTGAATTATGAAGACCTCGACATCTGAGGGAAAATACGGCATACAATAGACAGCTCAGAATCAATTAGACGATTTGGACTTCGCAGATGACCTGGCCCTTCTATCGCATACGCATGAACAAATGCAGATAATGACAGCCAGTGTAGCAGCAGCGTCCGCATCAGTAGGCCTCGACATACGTAAAGAAAAAGGTAACATCCCCAGATAAAACACGGAGAACGTCAACACAACCACACTTGATGGAGAAACTCTGGAAGCTGTGGAATCTTTCACGTACCTGGGAACAAGGAGGTTCAGATGCAAAAGTAAAGGCGACGATTAGCAAAGCAAGGGCCGCATTCCTACAAATGAAGAACAGATGGAAGTCAAAACAACTTTCAACTAATATCAAAGTCAGAATGTTCAATACGAACGTCATGACAGTCCTACTGTACGGTGCTGAAACTTGGAAGACTACCACAACCGCCATCAAGAAGGTATAAGTACTTATAAACAGTTGTCTGCTGAAGACACTCGATATCCGTTGACCGAATACCATCAGCAACAACCTACTGTGGAAGAGAACAAACCAGGTTCCAAATGAAGAGGAAATTAGGACAAGACTCTGAAAATGGATAGGACATACATTACGGAAATCACCAAACTGCACCACGAGGCAAGCCCTAACTTGGAATCCTGAATGGAAAAAGAGAAGAGGAAGGCCAAAGAACACACTATATAGTGAAATAGAAGCAAATAAGTAAAGGATGAATAAAAACTGGAAAAAGCTGGAAAGGATTGCCCAGGACAGTGTTGGATGGAGATTACTGGTGGGTGGCCTATGCTCCTCCACAAGGAGTAACAGGAGTAAGCAAGCATTCTGAGGAGATTACTAAGAACACATCTTCTTAGAGGACATAGATTGTATGTATACCATGTAGACAAGTATTGGTAACGTCACATTTCTATCAGTTGAATTTTAACCTCTATATCAATTACCCATTTCTTTGATTCTGTGGGGCCCTTTCGAAGCCCAAATGGATCCCTAAAGTTTCAAGTGAACCTCCATATATTGACATCGTCAGTGTATATATGATGTCAGTATACTAATTAGTCTGGAGGTTACTAGTGAAAATCAGTAGGGAAATGGTTCTTTATGAGTATCTCGCAGTTGTGACTCTTCATTTCGTCAGATTTCTATGTATCCAGTTCTCTGGTAAATTTCGAAGCCAGGTTAGGAGGGGATAGATGAAACCCATCTTTAAAACCCTCTCTATGGAGAGTATTTGCGGTGCTGTGTCGAAGGCTCTAGCAGGTTCAAGAAATAATACATCGACCAGTATGTTCAAATCCTAGATGTTTAACAAGTTTTCCCATGGTATAAAGACATGTAACGTACAGGACCCCCTTTTCCAAATCCGTGTGGGACTTCATAAAGAACATTTCTTATCAATGTAATGTGACTCTTTTGTATCAGTTTGTGTCTTTCTTATCTCCTCCACTAAAGATTGGATAAAGTACCGTACTTATATTCCTTTGGAATGTTCTGTAACTCTAGGGAATCCCTGAACAGGTCACATGCCGATTTTCTGATGGCTTTTGAGTACTATTTCAAGGTTAGCGAGCAGATGTTGCCACATCGTGGTGACCTTGTAACTGCTTAGGTTTCTTGGTCAAGAGTTCACCTCAAACAACTAAGCATGTGTCAAAACAGTATAGTTCAAGTATTCATTCACTTCCTTATTTTGTTTAGGTGTTATATTTCTTATTATCTTATATTGAATGTTGAGAGTCTTTGTTCGTCTGAACAAATAATCTGAATAAAGACCTATTCACTACTTGTCTGGTTTCTTCTATCAATGGCACGAGGGTTACCTAGAGGCACGAAAACTTTTCTAGGCACAGGGACTTTAGCCTACTTGATACAAAATTTGCAGTTAGGTGGATATTCCTCGAACCACCAGCTGACAATATATTCAAAGAGTGCAACGCGCTTGCAGGTTCCTGGTTTATTTGAAAGGAAAGGTTGGCATTGAAGATTTTTAACACCCATAGATCGATAAAATCTTCACCATTAAGGTCAGTGAGAGCACAAACCCCTTGGTTGGTAGGCTTTCGTTTAGCCATGAACCCGTGGATATTTGACGTTAGCTTGTATTTTATCGACTAGCTTAGCCTACAAATATCTTTCGCCTCTTTGAACTTTTGCATTGTATCTGTTTCTCAACGCCAAATGAGAGCTACGGCCAGAATTCTTCAAAAAGACTTTCCACTTGCACCAGGCTCAGTTATCAACTCACTCTATCATCCTTTGGATGACGTGCCTAGTCTTTCAAGTGGTACAGAAACTTTTAAGCATATATTCTATGCTAGTCCATAATAACGACTAGCTTCACGAGGGCTTCTGTTATACTTTGGCCTGTAGTGTGGCATCGAGTTGAGGTTAACTATGAACACCGCTACAGAGAAACACGTGCCAAATAAATCAGAAGGCGTAGTTTGAACGTAACCAAATAGATCCATGAAATCCCCGAGAAGCCAAATACCAGAAGGCAATTAATGGACCAAGTCGAGTTATATTTGCTGGCGATCTCGTGGCATAGAGAGGATACCGAGATCGTGGCAGGACACAACCTTGGTTACAGAAGGTAACCGAATTCGCGCGAAGTTACAATCGAAGTGTAAGTATAAGAATGGAAGCACAAAATAGCTGTCGTTAGCACAGTCAAACAAAAGCACGGTAAAACAAATACTGGTACAGTTGGCTATAATAATAATTGTTTTTATTAAACCAGTCGTGTTCTCGTGATAAATGTGAGTCACTACAGGCCATGATGAAGAAAATGCTCCACATACACGAGTTGCATTGATGCTGTCCAAACAAGCACAGAATGCACTTATTGGGTGGGAATCTCATGGACCAAGGATCATCAAAACCTCCTTCAAAACAAAGAAAGAGGGCATTCCAATAAACGTCATCCAATGCTATGCGCCTACCAACGACTACAATTAAGACGCTAAAGATCAATTATACAATAGGCTGCAGTTGTAAGATCCAAACTATGGTTTGGACTGCCGGACGGCTGTCTGGATGAGTTAGATACGCGCCCTCGCCCGTTTGAAACCAAAACAAAGTAATGGGGTAAGATGACGGTTCTATAAATTACCATAAATTTAAGTGTACATTACTACCTAAACAAATATAACCACTCAGCTATCCAACCAATAATTGTTCAATTGATCAAATCTAAACTACAATAAATAAGAAAGTTGATAAAGGATGCAAGAGATTAACCAATCACCACAAATAAATGTTATTCTATCCTGTCTGGATAGATCACGTACAGATTCGTTCAAAAGGTAATAATTGGTCGCTCTATAACACAGTGTTTTCAATTCTGGAAGAGTGCTTCAATTCACAACCAAAATGCACAATTCCAGTCAACACAAGTCAAGCAATCAAAAGCAGGAACGAACCCAAATGGCTGCCGCCCAGACTTAGTATA